TCTACATGTCTCCCATCTTTATCGCTTCCAACTCCATTGATTCATTCCATCATCATCTTTTCAACATGCACCTTAGCCGAACATCGAAGAACCGTTTGGCATCTTGTCTTTTTTCTCCTCTCTTTTTCTCCTGGCGAGCCATTCTCTTCTCGCCCGTGGCTTCATACTTCAAAGACGCCAACCATTGCGTTGGTGCTGAAGTGTAGGCCATGGGTGCCAGCTCGAGTTGCTTGAACGGCGAGATTGAAGGGGCCCTCGTCATTTGGCAGATCAACCTGAAAGCTAGCAGAATCCGTGCGAAATATCTTGTCAACCTTACCAAAAACAAGTACCCGAATGGACCACCTCATGTCATTGCCATTCAAGATCCTCCAAAGGAACTTCCATGGATTTCCACCGGGAACTACAAACCGGTGTACCGAACAGCTCGAACGCTACGCGAGGAAGACCATCCATACATACCGTGTAAGCCAACCAAGAAGGCCAAATACGAGCAACGACAGCTTGTGGATCTTGATCCAGTGGCCTTCTTGGTGTTGGACACGATTCCTGTCGGACATTGGCATCCAACTTTTCACGAGGACCTAGACGCCGACCCCCGGGACTTTCAGGACCGCCTCGACCGCCTCGACCCCCCGATGCCGCGACACGAAGACGCTTTCGCTGCGACCTTGGCCCTTTCAACCTTGGCTGGTCCCATAAACATTCACAACGTTTACAATCGCCAGACGAAAATCAATATCGACAGGCTTTTGGCCACGTGCACCTTGGGCCAGGACAACCTCCTCCTCGGCGATTTCAACCTACATCACCCCCGCTGGTCCCGCATACCCTTTGTCGGACCTATAACCTCTGACGCTCGGAGTCTCTTTCACGGGACTGAACAGGCCGGCATGGAATGCATCACTGAGCCTGGCGCCATGACGTACAGCCGAGGTAGCGACAAGGAAAAACACACCTCTACCATCGACCTGGCATTTCTCAGCCAAAGCTTACTGCATCGTTTTACAGATTGGAGCATCTTGGAAGGGGGTAACTTCGATTCAGATCATCGAATCATTCAGACCACTCTACTCATGGAGCCCGATCGAACGTCCAGCGATCGCTACCTCTGGGGCAAGGCTGACGTTGCCGGGTTTCGTGCTCATGTAGAGCGTGAGCTGGCCAACTCGGGCTTGCTGGACACGGCACTTATGAGCAAACCCGACATCAATGCTTATTTCTCCAAGTTCAACGACATCATTCGACTCGCCATCCCTTTGCATGTTCCCCTCGCCAAGCATCCCGTCATCCGCCGCTCAGCCAAGCCGCCACCTTTGAGGGACAAGCAACATCCAAATTTTGAGCAACAGGCTTCGACTCGGCTGGGCACCGATCTAGATGCGGAGCAAGACTTTGACTCTTTTTGCCGGCGCCTCGAACAGCAAACCAGGACGGAAAAGACGAAAAAGTGGCGGACCATGCTTTCTGGCGAAGGCGACGACTCCCCAACTATCCACAAGCGTGCCAAGATAGGCGCCTTCTTGAGCAAACCTCGCGTCTCCGGTCAGATACCCTTCCTCGTCGGCTCAGACAAGACCAAGTGCACAAGCCTCGAGGAGAATGCCCAGTGCCTCCGGAAATCAGTGTGGCCTAATACCAGCCAAGGGCCCACAGCACCCCCTCTTCAACTTCCCGACCTCGACCCTCTACAACCCCAGCTCTTTGCCGACCAAGTTGTCTCTGATGACGATGTCAAAGCTGTCTTGTCAGGCCTCACCCGCGGTAAGGCTGCCGGGCCAGATGGAGTTTCGCCAGACGCCCTGAAGATGCTCTACCACCCTTTTGACGAGCTTCCCGACGAGGCTGTCTACGGCGGAGGCTATGAAGCTCTCCGAGACAGCGTGAACAGCATCATCCATCCTTACATCAAACGTGGAGCGCAGGCCTGTCTGTTACACTCGTACCACCCGGACGCTTTCAAACCCTCGATTACGGTCATCTTGCCCAAACTCAACAAAGACGACTATACAAGCCCGAAAGCCTACCGCCCAGTGGCTCTGCTGTCCGTCGTCGGCAAGCTGATTGAGAGGATTGTTGCAAACCGTCTCAAGAAACTGGCCTTAGAGCACAGCGACTTGATACCCTCGACGCAGTTCGGTCTACCCGGCAAGTCCACGACCAAGGCACTGGAGCACCTCGTCAATTTGGTGCAGCAGTGTTGGTCCCCTATCGGCCGTGCCAAGTTGAAGGCCACGTTGATGACGATCGACATTACGGGCGCGTACGATCACGTCAGACGATTCGAACTGCTAAAGATCCTTCGCCAGAAGGGCGTTCCCGATTGGATTGTGCGGTTTGTCTGGTCGTTCCTCAGTGACCGCAAGACCGTCCTCAAACTCCCCGGACACACCTCTGAAGAGTTTTGGGTCGATATTGGCATTCCCCAGGGTAGCCCTCTGTCCCCCATCCTCTTTCTCTTCTTTTCCAGCCCCATTCTAGAGGCTCTTCAGGTCTCTTGTCCGTTCGCAAGTTTTGCGCTGGCCATGTCTTACGTTGACGACACCAACATTCTCGTCACGTCTCCTTCGGAAGCTCGAAACTGTGAAGCATTGAAGTTCCTCTACGACAACTTGGTGCGCTGGGCATCGCCCAACGGCATCTTCTTCGGGCCTCACAAGACATTCGTCATGCATTTCAGGAAATCCGGTAGTCATGGGCCGCCAAGCACCGAGCTTCCCGATATTCCCGGCCTCTCCAAGAACTGTCTGCAGACAGAGCTTCTTTTGCTCGGGGTTGTTGTGGATTCGAAACTCACATGGGCAGCACACATTGAACAAGTAAGTCACGCCTTTCAATTTTCATTTGCCTTCGTTTTCTTTTTTTGCTCCCTCGTGGCTGACCGTTTTGTCGACAGGTCATTACCAAAGTCAGGAGGAGGATGATCCATCTTCGCAGAATATCTGGATCGACTTGGGGGCCATCATTGCACGAGATGAAGAAGCTTTACGTCAGCTCGGTTCTTCCCATCTTCTCATACGCTTGCCCCGTTTGGTTCGTCGACGGTCGAGGCCAGAAGATCCGAGGCCAGTTGACAAAGACGTTGGTCCAATCTCTCGACGCGGAACAGGCGCGGTTTCTGCGATTCATTGCAGGTGGATTCGAGGCCTCTGCCTCGGAAGTTGTCCACAAGGAGCTGCACATGATTCAGCTTTCGGTCTATCTTGAACAACTTGCTCTCAGGCACCGGATCAACAACCTCTATTCACCAGAGTATCGGGACCTCGAGGCAATGTGGGACAATGTCTTTACAGACATTGCAACGGAGCAGGAGTTGGGCGCTCATCCTTACAAAGCCCTCTACGGCCAGGCGGAATCCTTGTGGCTCGAGATGCGCGAGAGGGTTCTGGATAAGCAGCTTTGCCGAGCGAACTGGAACCCCGAGCAAGCCGTGCAGTCAGAAGCCGAGGGCTGGGCCGATCCCAAGCGCCGCAAGGCCATCATCAAGGCCTACCTGAAGGACATCTCTATGGAGAGGAGCAGTCTAGCGTGGGATCGATACAGAAACGACCGAAGCGGCAAGGTCCGCAACATCAACCGCAACACTCCGGCTCTCAAGGAAAACTGGGGCCCAGAGAGTCTCAAGTACTATCAAGGGCTCACGCGTGCTCAGAGTAGCATGTTGTTCCAATGCCGCAGTGGGGTGATAGGGTTGAACGGCTATCTCTTTTCGCTTAAGGCGAACGTGAGTCATTTTATTCTTCTTCCTCTTCCTCTGCATCTTTCTCTGCCTCTTCACCGGGCCCATCTTCTTTTACGCTATGAGTCTAACTTCTCGTCTTTACTGCAGTTGGTTGAGACACACCGATGTCGCTGTGGTCATCCGATGCAGACGGCCGAACATCTCTTTGCCCATTGCAAACAGCTCACCTTCGAACGCAGTCGCTTGCGTAAGCATGTCGGCGTAATCAACTTCGATTTGCTGGTCACAACCGAGGCCAACGTAGCCACGGCGTGGGCGATTCGCCATTTCGACATCGCTCAGTTCAGGTGGACGGGCAAACACATGCCGCTTCCCTGCTGATTACGGCCCGCAGCTTCCCACCAACCGCACCCACCATTTTTCGGAGGCAAGCTTCCTTTTTGTCTTTCCTTCTCTCGTCTTGTTGTGCCCTCCATTCTTTCCAGACGTCGACCACACGTCTATGCATCTCATTGCGCCGTACCTTCTTTGGTCTCGGATCTAGTGTACCCAAGACTGCTACTAATGCCTCGTCGCATCATTGTTTCCCCCGTCCTCCCCCTGGACTCTTCGCCCTGGTTTTCTCCTTTGTCTTCTGTTCCGGGTCGGTGCCACGGCATTCCTGTCCAACCTGTCAGCCTACCTCGCCTTTGTACAGTAGCACACCTTAGCCCAGACTTTCAATTCAATCCCCTTTTGCCCTCACCCCCCGACGGAGCAATCCGCCGGGGCCGTACCGTGTATTACGTATTGGGGTGAGATCTTCGGTGACCTTGCAGTCCTTGCATTCCATGATCGCCTCACTGACCTGTTATGAATCTAGGAAAACTGGGTATATTGCGCTCCATACCTAACTACTAATCAAAAGTAAGTGGACCTCCCCAGCGTTGCTTTGTGCTTTCATGACGCGATCCGTTTGACTGACTGGCGGACCGAGCCGCAGCAGCAGTCAACCGACTCGACCGTTGTCTTCCTTTCATCAAGTACGCGGCCTGCTCGTTCCTTGCGTTGCTCTACTATGCTAACAGTCGTATTGAAGCAGCTCCCGACCTTCCCCCGCGTGAGTATGCCCGCCCTGTCCTTTCTCTCCCATACGAGGCATCAGTAACAGGTCTGACAGAGTCCTCCAAGTTCCAGCCGTCTAGAGGGCGAGCTGCACCCACTCCAACGCACATAAGACCTCCTGGTGCCAGCCCGCGTGGGCGGCCAGATCCCGCATCACATACTCCTTCTCGTCGAGGGTCAGGGGGCCCCTTATATATTCCCTCACGTCCATAATATGGCCCGTATCGGAGGGATTTCTGGCTCCGTAGAGCATGATTTCCAAGCCGGCGTCGATATGCCGTAAGTCGCTCGATGCTCGACCAAACTACAGAAACTAACGGTATTCCCCAGGGATCTTGACGTCCGTGCCGGCCCGGCTGTCCACGGCGTTCGTACTGTCGCCCAGCCGGATTCCGCACCGCCGGAAGGTACTTCGCCACTTCTTGGGCGTGCCCACGTTGGCCACGATGGCCACAGCGTCGAGCTGGCCGGTAAGTTCTTTCTGAAGACTTTTTGTTCCTTGGTCGGGAAGAACCCCTCTGCAAATGAACCCTGCTGACCAGACTGTGTTAGAAGAGGGCGCCCAGCCCGAGAGGGGCAGACTTGTCGACGGGCATCTTTGGGTGAGGCATGCCGCTTTCTTGTCCCCCGTACTCATAAATGCCACTGACACTCTTCCGAGAGAGTTCTAGCCCACTGATTGCTGACTGTATGCTGGGAGGTATTGCTCTCTTTCGTTCTATTTTTGGATGAGCAAAGCTAACCATGATTTAGTAGAGTAGGTTCTCGTCGAGGTGGTATTTTGACTGGCCAACCTCTTGACTGGTTGTCTGACTAGCTGTCCAGGTGGTGGTTTGTGTGTTGATGGGTTTGTTTGGTGGATTTGTTTGGTGGATTTGTTTGGTTTGAATGGAGGTTGGTCATAAGTGCTTCTACTCTATCCCTGTGGTAGACGCTAAATACCCTTAGAGCAGCTTTGGGCGATGTTGGAAGCGATGAGGATGGAAAGAATCTTTGCGAGCTCTGGTACGGCAAGTACGATGTAAGTTTCATGATGCACCAAACAACGACTGACATGAGAGGAAGAAGAGCAGCAGATATTGGCCCATTTGGCCCTTTCTCCGGAAACCTCTACGTCGCCATCAAAGTTCAGAACCTCTGCGGTTGAGGGTGAGTAAATTTCCTACTACGGATGCATTACACAATGACAGCCATTTTTGAGATGAACTTTTGCTAATACCCATCGTGCCAGAAGGCCGCCTCCGACTATTGCGGCCGACCATTGCGGCCAACCATTACGGCCGACCTCTGCCGTCGACCTTTCCGGCCGGCGCCGCCGCGTGAGTATGTCGCTCAGCCTGTCGTTAGCAAGCAGCGTACCCCTCCCTCATCTTCTAGAGAATAGAGACATGGAGCTAACACGAGATTGAGCGAAGAGGGCAGCTTGCCTATCCCGAATTGCATGGCGGTTTTCGTATCGAAATCACTATATTGCGTTGAGCGCGTGCTTGGGGCACATTGCGCGTATTGTGTAGTTAAAAAGTGTACCGTATCGTGTGATTTCCCTTGAAAGCGTGATCCCGTTAAGGTCGATCTTTTGCGCCTGTAAAGCCGGAAAAAAACCACCACATAAAAAACAATTGTCCCTTAATATTTTTCCTCCGTTGCCGTGATCTATCGCTCGTCGTCTCAATTGTCAAGTCAGGTGTATGCTTTGACATTAATCCTTCAGGCTGTCCAGCGTCAGGCGACTGACTGGTAAGGTACCTAGGTTCCTTGTGTTACCCACCTCTAAGAGGTGTACTCCTTATTCAGAGGCTCGGATTCTATGGCCCAGGCCAACAAGGTGCCTGAGGGGCGGGTAAATTTGGCTGTTTGGCGAGGAACTCCCCAAGTGTCGTGGTTACCTGCAGTGAGTAGGAATACGTACCGCGGCACCGCGGTCTCGTCCATGGCTCAGCCAAGCCTTACCGTAGGCCCACAGCGAAGTAATCTCTTGTCAGTGGAAGCTGGGCAGGCAGCCTGAGATACCTACCGGAAGTAACTGGTGTTTTCGGGCTATCTTGCCTTGAGGTAAGGTAGGTACGGAGTGCAGTAGGTAACGTACCTTGTACCTCAAGGTAGGTAGGCTCAAGTCAGTAAATAGTGGGCTACATACATCGCCGCGCGACCCACTGCCGCCACTGAACGTACATTTGCCCGCACAAAGTAGTGGCAGAAGGCGCGTAGGTACATGCATGACCCGGCGAAGGTTGCCTTAGGTTATTAAGGTACATAGGTACTTTCCATAATATACCTGCCTATTTTCTGCACCTTAGGTACCTTACTTTCTATGGCACTTTCCTACACATGCATGCCAACTCCTCGAAAGTCCTCATTCAGGTGCTCAGAAATGTATCTTTTTGTGACTAAGCTCTGAAAAGATATCGTGCGGGCAAATGGTGCGTTCTGTCAGGCGTAGGGTGGAAAACATCATAGTTAGGCAGATGCGCTACGTGACTGCCTTCTGCGGGTGCACTTGGTACGTAAGATAGGGGACCACAAGGTACCTACCTGTCTGGCTGCCTTTCTCCGCTGTGCCATCCCCACCTGCGAACCTTGACCACCCCGGGCCACCCAGCACGCTTAAATACCTTTCACCTCTCCCCGTCGTGCCTGTCGCCGCCCAACACCATGTTCAACAACCGCTAGCATCTCATCCCTGCGCAAACCCCCACGATACAAAACATCCGCCTGGCATCTTCTTCAATTGTCACACAGACCCGACTCCTACGTAATCGGGAGGAAGGAGCTCGCAATGGCTACATTTTTTACATTTTTTCACCTCCCTCGAGAGCTGCGGCACATCATTTACCAGCTCTACGTCGTGTCCGACGGAGGCTATGTCCTCAATCCCGAAACCAACAAACTCAGAGATGCCCTGGGCAGACCAATCGACCTGGCTTTCGCGTACACATGCAAGCGCGCTGCCGACGAAATGAGGGGCCTTGCACTGGAGGCGAACACCATTACCGTTTCAACCTTTTACTCGCCAGACGAACGCCACAGAGCTAGAGACTTTGATCTCGTCACCATGATGCTAAATGAAGAACTGGAAAATGCACTTCACTGTTCACAGCATCTTCTCTGGGATGATACATGTGATGACATATCGGGGGCGTTCCCAGAGTTCACGCCCGTTCTTGACATGATCAGACATGATTCGTGGGGCATATCAACCAGGCAAGGCCCATGGGGTGAACCTCACTCCGTTTATCGAGATTTCGTACGCTTCGCTTTGCGAGCCATTCTAAGCACTAATGACAGGCATCGGCTCAATGACGACTTCACGGAACTCTCATACAACATAAATGACACCCAACACCTTCTCGATATGGAGCCGAACCCTTGGACCATTCCAAGGCAACATGATCTCCGACAGATAATGGATGCGCTCGGCGGGAAACATTCAATAAGAAAGTTTGGTCTCGAAAGATTCTGGATGGGCTCTGAATGCGCCAGACGTGCCATGTTTCGCTATTCCGCAGCCGCTGTTGCCATTCGGTTCCTGGAATCCAATACGCCTGCGACCCGAGCGCACATGAGGGACATCGTGCTGATTGAAGATCAGGAGTCTGTTTCAAATCCCGAGTGTCACGCAATGGGGTTGATACCTTATTGTCAAGAGAATCCCGAGTTGCGGATAGAGCGACGTGTCAGCCTGTGGCGGAACGCTTTTTTTCATCTGCCGGGGGAAGCACTTGGTGAGCGGACACACCAAGACTACAATCTCGGTCTAGACGCTAATAAGATCTCTTACGCCGTCGCCCGCTGGGTTATTGAGGTATTGCCACTCGTCCCCGCCGGTATGCCCGCCAAATCATTTACGTTGGTCTTGGATGGAGAGGGTGAGCCGCAGTGTTCGGAAATTTTCCAGACTGTCGTTCTGCGCGATGCTGCGTGGCAGCAGGCGATGGAAGAATGTTTCCAAAGCGGCGCCCTTCCGTCAGAGCCGTATGGGATGAGGAGAAATACCCAGAGGACTCCGTTACTCGACTTCCCCGCCTTTAACGACTGTTATCTGTTTGACAAGTTCCCGCAGGTAATGCAAGAAATCGTCGACGGGACGTCCATAGTTCGTTGCAACTTTGGCACTGGGGACTTTGTGGACACGGAGCCATTCAAGTTGGTCGCGAAGAAGGGGTTATGGAGCGTAGATCACTGGAGATTCCACTGGTACGAACGTCAGAAGAAGACCTATCAGCCTTCTCCTCCGTTGCCGTCGTGGAGCGACATCAAATCTAGCTATCTCTCTGATCGCCATGTTGCATTCACGCCCTCTCTGACTGAAATGATGTCAAGCTCTTCCGCCCCTCAGGGCCTGCGGTGGCAGTAGTATAGAGACTACTATCGCGCGGAGCAGCCACGGAGTTCAAACATGTCACACTAGACAGGACTAGCATATGTCTTCAGTCGACACAACGAGATAAGAAAAAGAGAGGTAAAAGAATAAGAAGAAGAAAAAAAAAAGGGGGTTGAGGGGGGGGGGGGGGGGGTTAGATTAGCCTTAGTATCCGAGGAGGTTTCGTTCGCTGGCGGTAATTACTGATCATCACACCCAAACAAAGTTGAGAAAGTCATCTGTCAAAAGCTTCACGATCTCCTCCAGAGACATGACCTGCGCGTTCCCAAAGCCCGCACCTTCGGAACTTCAGCCAGATCGCCACTGAGGTGGTAGCGAACGACGAAGGAGAGAGGAGGGCATTTTTGTCCAATCTTCTGGAGGTCATAGTCCGGAAGATAAGGGTCGAGAGGGAGGAAGGAGAAGGCAGGATCGGAACATGTTAAAATGATAAGAACATGATGGAGAATTGACAACTAGGCAACATGCAGCTTGTGGGCGATGGAAGTTTGGGCCATGCAATGCGCAAAAAGCCCTCTTTGGAGATATTCTAGTACCAAAAACTAGCCTTTTTTCTTTTCTTTTTTAATTGACCAAATGATTTCACTGCCGCTCCGGTGTCTCTTTTCTCCTTCTCCATAAACTCCCTCCTGAAGTCTTTTTTCCTATCGCAAGTCCCCCCCCCCCCCCCCCCCCCCCCCCCCCACACAAACAAAACAAACACCAACCCCCCCCACACACCACCACCCCCCCCCCCCCCACCCACCCCCCCCCCCCCCCCCCCCCCCCCCCCCCCCCCCCCCCCCCCCCCCCCCCCCCCCCCCCCCCCCCCCCCCCACCAAGAAAAAAACAAAAAAGCCGTCGTCGCGGCCGGGTATCATCGATCCCGCTCTTCAATCAAACCCTCTCTCCTCCTCCCTCGCTTCCCCTGATCCCCTGCATTCACCGCCCACGCTTCATACCAGCCTGACTCAGCAAGTCCACGTTGCGCGGCAAGTCAAAATCGCCCCTCGCCTCGAACCAGAAGAGCATCTCCGGCTCCGGGCCCGTCGGCTTTGTCGGTTTCTTCTTCTTCTGCGACTGCCCAGACATGACCACGTCCCCATCTCCACCACCGCCGCCGCCCTCCTCATCGCTCTCCTCCTCCTCGTCCTCATCATCGTCATCCTCGTCATCCTCCTCGAGCCCCCTCCTCAGCCCAGTCCTCACATTCTCCACCCCCATCCGCCGCTCGTCCTCGGTGTACACGTCCCCCGCCTCCTCGAGGACGTACTTTTGCACCCGCTCGACGGTCCACGCGCGCACGTCGCGCCACACCGCCTCGAGCTGGGCCTCGCCGCCGCCGTTGCCAGCACCGACAGGTCCACCAGCAATACCGGGCCCGCCGCCAATGCCAACACTGCTGCCGTCCGACGAGGAAGGAGGAGCGACGTTCGCGCCACGCAGCTCCCGCGTCGTCTCCCGCCCGCGCTCGACCCACTCCTCGACGCCCGGCTCGAGCTTCTTGCGGAGCAGCTGCAGCAGGATGTTCTCGTGCACGCGGCCCGGGTAGGCGACGTCCGGGAAGACGTGGAGGTGCTGGAAGACGTGGGTGTTTTCTGTCAGGGTCTCGAGGAGGGATTGGAGGTTGCGGAGGAGGATTTGGGATTGTGCTTGGAGGGACGCTCTGTTTTTGTCGTGGCGCAAAATGTTAGCACGTCTAGAAATCTTTTTTTCCTTCTTTCTTGAATCGTGTGTCTTGATGGATGTGGAGCTACGAGGAAGGAGGGGGGGGGGGGGGGGGGTTTGGGGGGGGGGGGGGGGGGTCTCTTTTAAGGGCCCCCCCCCCCACCCCGGGGTGGGTTGGGGGGGGTGGAAAAGGCGGTGGGCGGTCTCCCCATTTCCTTTGTAATCATCGGGGGGGGTGTGGGGGGGGGGGGAGCTTACGGGGGAGGAAGCGGGTTGCTCTTCAAGACGTCCATCCGCAGACCCTGGATGCTGTTGGAGAGTTGGAACAGACGCTGGCGCGTCTGCTCAATTGCCTTGAATTCATCGGCCGTGATGCCGAGCGCGTTCGGCTTGTCCATTGCCCGTGGTCTTTTTTTTTTCCCCGTGCGTTGTTTCGTCTTCGTGCGGCTCGTCGCAGATCGGAGAAAAGTAGAGGTTCTTTGGGGATCGTAGCGGGTGATGGAAATCGCACAGCTCACGCGACTCGACGCGCCGGGGAATGTTGAGTGTTTAGCGAGTCGCAGAAGGGGAAAAGGTGTTGGATGAGTTGTGTCTTGAGGTGATGCGACTACGCAATGGAATCTTCGACGTCGTCGGGAGTAGAGAGCGTGGGGGTGGTTTTGTTGAGAGTTTACCGGAAATTGAGCTCCCTCTATCCAGGTTGAGGAGGGGAGAAAAGGTACGAGTGACGTTCCAATCCACTCGGCCCGGGGGTAATTTAAATGGGTCCAGGAGCTCCGCGTCGAACGGGGGTGTGGGCAGCGATCGCGGCGTCAGCACGTACCTCGCGTACCCCGCTGGCCCGGCGCAAACCCCAGCTGAAAAAGCGATGCAGGGCCGGGAGCAGGGGCCACGCGGGATGGAATTCCTCTCGGTTTTCCCAAGTTAGCAAGGTGGAAGGTAGGTATGTAAGCATACAAGGGAGACCAGGCGACCATTCACCCTCAGACTCGTTCGAGGCTCTTCCCGGTCACGGGGAAACGACCACACTCAATTGGCTTCGGGTTTGCATGCTTGACATAAGATATTCAAATACAGCTAGCAACGTGGCAAAGCACTCACCTTGTTAGAAAAGCCAAGGCGGTCCCATTAAATGAGCACGGCGTAATGGGAGTAGCACGTCAAGTGAGGCAGTCAGGATTTCGTGACAACGAGCGAGCTGCTTAAAAAGGTCTCTGAGTAATCCTCAAGAGGTTGAGTGTCACGTTCCAATGAGACAGGACCTTCAATGCAACTGGTAACTTGCTTATGTGCTAATTCTTGGGCATTCATGTCTTAAGCCCCATTGAAAGCTAAAATACAAAGGGCGTCTGGTCTGTCCTGAAGATCATGACCATGCGCCTGATCGCCTTGCGGATATCTGCGAGAAAGAAGAGAAAAGATATCGCGTGCTGTAAATCAAATGATATGCCCCAACGCCCCTGTGACATGCATTTTGGTGTCGTTATCATCATAAATATGCAAAAGATTTACTGGCCGTGAGATCCAGCTTGGTCGTGAAGAACCCTGTGACCGGTTGTGGCGCGGTCAACCTCCCGACCGTACTTGTCCACGGGCGGGTATCGAGCGCGACGCTCGAGGTCGTCCAGAGGAATCTGCGAGCGGATGTACCTGAGAGATGTTAGTATTGAGTCTGGAGGTTCATTATGCCAGGATCACAACTTACTTCATTCTACCGTCATCAACGGGGTCGTAGTCCCAGCTAGTGAACTGGCCCTGGGTAAGAGCGCCCCACACAAGGCGACGCTTGCGCTGAGACTGCAAGACCTGCTCGGTGATGGCATCAAAGTCCCACTTGGCCTTTGTCTCGGCGTTGTACTCGTCAAGCTTTGCCTTGGCTTCCTCGTCCAGCAGCTTGCCGGTAATGGCCTTGGATGACGCCAGGTTGACCAGCTCGAGCGGATCGTCCTTGAGGTTGAACAACTGGGTGCCATCTGCAGGGCAGTGGATGTACTTCCAAGGGCCCTCTCGGATCATCATGAGCGGACTGACAGTGCCCTCGCCGGTGTACTCGGCGTAGACCTTATCGTGGCCAGTCTTGCCCTGAAGATGAGGCAGCAATGAAACACCATCCATGGGTAGACCAGGAGCAGGCTTCGTGCCGACCAAATCGCACAGTGTCGGGAGAATGTCGAGGGTAGAAACGTTTTTGTCCACACGATGGGGCTCAAAGTCCTTGGGGTGGCGGACAAACAGCGGCACTCTGACGGAAGACTCAAAGTAGCTCATCTTGTACCATAGTCCACGCTCGCCGAGCATGTCGCCATGGTCGCCGCTGAAGACGATGATGGTATTATCGTCCAGACCGCACTTCTTGAGAACGGACAAGAGTCTTCCGACACAGTCATCAACGTAGCTGACAGCGCCGTAGTATGCGCGGCGAGCCCGCTTAATCTGGTCGTCGGTGAAATCATAGTCCCAAAGATCGCAGACCTTCATGAGACGCTTGCTGTGGGGATCCTGTTCTTCTTTGGGAATGCGAACCTTGGGAAGAGCAATATCGACGTCCTCATAGAGATCCCAGTACTTGTCCTCAATCGTGTAGGGGTCATGAGGGTGAGTCAAAGACACGGTGAGAGCGAAAGGGCGCTTCTCGGGACCCTCACGGACGTGGTCGTAGAGGAACTGAGTGGAGCGGAACATGACCTCCTCGTCGTAATCCAGCTGGTTGCTCCGCACGCAAGTGCCGGCTTGGAGGATGGAGCTGGAGTTGTGGTACCACTCAAGACGGGTGTCTGGCTCGTCCCAGTTGACGACCCAGCCAAAGTCACCGGGGTAAATGTCGCTAGTCAAGCGAGTCTCATAGCCGTGAAGCTGATCCCCGATGAAATGCATTTTGCCTGCCAGCGCAGTCTGGTAGCCCTTCAGACGCAGGTAGTGTGCGTAGGTGGGAATCTCACTGGAGATCTGGCTGGCGTTGTCGTAAGCACCAATCTTCATGGGCAAAAGACCGGTGATCAAACTCATGCGCGATGGTGCGCACAACGGGGAGGGGCAGTAGGCAGAGTCGAACTGAACAGACTCAGCGGCAAGAGCATCCAGGTTTGGTGTCTTGATCTGTGACTCGGGGTTGTACATCTTGAGCTGGGGTGCGGCCAATTGATCGGCCATGATGAAGAGGATATTGGGTTGCTTCGCGCTCGGTGCGCCATTGCCGTTGCCGTGGGCAGACTTGCCATTGGCGGGTTGCGCCAGAGGCGAAGAGGGAAGTGAGTTGAGATCGGGAGCCATTGTGCTTGTAGCCAATGGTCTCGAGTATGATTTGTTTATTGAAACTTGAGCAAGTTCGATGGAGAGGGTGGTTGTGGTGTTATCCTTGGTTGCGTGGGAGGAAAATGTTTGTGGCTTGTGAGAGGGCTGATAAAGAGCCGATGTGAATATGTGTGCTCGTGTGTCAAGTGCGATGGTGAGCAGTGATTGAAAAGTTTATAAGTGACCAAGGACAAGGGATGGTCAGTGATTAGGAGGAAAGCGCAGTGGATTGAGTCTTCCGGATGATCTAGAAAAGAGAGAAGGAAGTTAATCACAATTCATGTGGGAGGAAGCGTCCTTTAAGAAAGTGAGCCAAGAGAAGAGAGCGAGAGCAGTCCCGTCCGCCTCGACAGTCGACCTGCCTTACCTAGGACCAGCCATGGGCCATGGCCCTAGGAGCCCGATAGGAAGGGACGACGGGACGTGGAGAAGACGGGCGTGGATGGATGGACAGGAGGGCGAGGCAAGGAGAAGCAGCGCCAGACGCCAAACGCCAAACGGGGGCCACGCCAATGCACAGACACTGCATATGCACCAAACGAGGGATCTGCGGAGTACTTGAGATAAGGATACCCCAGACCCCGTCGCATTGCCTGAATGTGCCCAAGTGGCTCGTGCAGTACGGTGGGGCTTTCCCCGACTCATGCAATGTCACGGGGCTCCAGCTGCTTCTTTCCTCCCACCCATCCTTGGCGACTTGGAATACTTAGTATCCGTAGCTAAGGTAAGGTAGCAAGGCCACATGTGCCAGGAGCAATACGGTGAGGTGGCCGATGAGCGGGAAGGAACGGGGTGAAGGGACAATGACAGATGTGGGTGGCAGAGGACAGCAGGATCGCCCGGACCCCGTTCCCGTCATTTTCAACAAATTCACTCTCCGGTCATCGATCCAATGATGAAGGAAGGAAGGGAGGTAGGTACCTTATTACTGTACACTTCGTGTAGGTCATCAGCCAAAAAAACTGTCAGACAGCAACAGCAGCCATCCAATTCCAACCCACCTTGCTAAACTTGTTTAGTCACCGCCTTAACTCTGCTTCCTCCATCTTCTTCTCCTTTCGCCATTCAATGATTCGGATAACTCATTATAATTTCTAAACCACACTACCTTAAGCTCGTCGCTACGCTTACACCTGGCACGCCTGCGTAGTCTGTGACTCTACCCAAGGAAGACAGGTCGACCGCAATGCGTCAGAGATATGGCGTTTTCCGATCAGCCGATTGCGAAATAGCCCATGCAAAAGCACCGACCAGCCACTCAAACACTTTGTCAGCATGGCGGCAACATCAACTCGTCGTTACAGTCTGTCTCTTGTCAATGAATGAGCTCTGCATGCCGGTGTGATCCGTATCCGCATCACAAGAAGCAATTTCCTCTCCATCCGGCTCCATTCTGCATCACCCTTCAACGCTCCTCCGCGATAAGGCTAGTCGCTTTTTCTCTCACCGTGGGACCCGAGCCACTCCATGCGACAATCGATGGCTGGCGGTGTGAATAACACGTCCCACGACAAATGAAAACACAGCGCCGGAAACCCAAACGGCCGGCTACACCTTCTCGAACACTGAGCATGGGCATGGGTCGGCTAGTCTTACTCTTGTGCTATCTCGGCCTCTCGTGATGACTGGTAGGGGCACCCTAGACTCCTCGAGCACTAACAAGCTTCGTTATGCTTCAAGCGGGAATAACAAATTCTTTCCCATTCGCTGGTCCCCTGCTATTTGGACCCCTGGATCTCGTCGACTATACCCCAATCGCCCTCTTGCAGCTGGGCACTTACCCAAAGACCTGCTCGCAACCTGCATAAGCGTCGCTCAACCCAAGGACAGGCCTTCTTCCGATTAGCTAGACGATTGGACGGTCCTGGTGTGCCCAAGGGAACATTCTTTCGATAACGGTCGCTTCAATGGGGGCATGCCATTCCTGCACGCACGCGACAAATTTACGGAGGACTCCGTTCCCCCTTCAACGACCTCCACTGATAAAGGCACCGAACCGAAGCGGGAGAAATAAACATTGAGACGAGATGGGTCCGACGCAAGTTATCACGCACATTCATACAAGACCCAGAGTGTGCGTGCAGCCGGAAGGCAACATCTACAAACACACAGGTGATGTGTAATACACCCAATTATTCTGGCCCAGACCCCAGTGTACGAATGCAGGGCACAAACACCAGCACCGTGGTTGCGAACCGAAGCGAACGGGGCACTTCTCCAGTCTCCAGATTCCAGATGGGGAATTTTGGACAGGCACGGGGAGGGACTGTCGGAACCACCAACCGACGACTCGCCTGGCTCTTGAATCCACCTCTCGGCTGTCCTTTTCATCTGGGCCTGGCATCTGCACCCCATGCCAAGGCGGCGCCATCTTGACAGCACTCTTAAGGGGCCACGTATCCGTATTCTCCTGGCAGATCAACCAGATTACAATTCCACCATCGACGAGCTCAGAAGATGTCGTGATGGCGTCCACCTCCGACCTCCCGCCGGCTCCCACCCCGCATTTGCGGGGTTACCCTCATGGCTGGCCGGTCACGCCATCGGAATAAGGTCTCCTACTCCGGGCGTGGCTCATCTTCTTGCCTCGCACCGCTTCTAGAGTCTATCCGTCCCCGTCCCGGAACGATGTGTCTTTCGCATCTACTGGTCACCGGTGCACGCACCAACGCACCAGTGAGTAACTGTAATACTCGATAAATGCTTACCGCCGGTGGTGTGGCCCCGGCTCCCGGTCAAGCCATACCGCAATCACATCATTGCGCTCCAGTATTGCTTCATCAACTAGGCTGCGGATTCCGACTCAATTTATCGTTTCATCCATAACAATCAACATCGGCAACGCAGCATTTCAGCATCAGCATCAGACATGAGGGCCTTTCTTCCGGTTTTCCAGCAAGGGCGAGGACTAAACCCTCCGACGATCCGTTCCTTTCCTCCCATGCGCTTCCGTCTTGCCTTGCATCCCCGCCCACCATGCGTTTGTTCAGGTTGGTCAGCCTCCACGTTGCACCAGGCGAACCAGCTCGTTTTCGGCTGAGTCGTGCGCTTCGCTCACTGGTGATCATCTGATGAGCCAGCCCATCACACACATTTCTTCTCCGCACCCGTTAATTGCATGACTGGCGCATATCGTCGATTCCCTCCCTCCGGCTCATTGCGTCCAAGGTTGGCATCTCAATGGATAGCGTATTACCCCTCCACCCCGAACATCCCGTCGACGGTCTCGCGGCCACTCGCGGCATACAAACAATGCCAAGCTGCTCCCGACCCCAAAACAAACCCCCCTCCCTCCTCTCCAGGCTCTAGTCAACGTCGGGCATCTGCACACCGTAGAGCCAAATCCAAGGAGACCCTCGAATCACATCTCGTCCTGCTCCGCTGAGACATTGGCCAGGGGTCCCCCTCCGGAGCACAACGTCACGTTCATCGGCGCACCAACCAACAGCGAACAACAAATCAACCTTCCCTCGTCGAGAAGGCTGACAAGACATGCAACAATCCAGCACATTAATTTACGGCGAAAAGCGCTTTCGTGTGCCCGCGAGCGTCGAGCACACCTAGACCTTGTCCCGCTTTGCCTATCTGCACCCTCGTTGATACACTGTCAATCACACGCGTGCGCAGTGCCAGCAACCAACGCATTTAACTGATAACCGCAATGACACACCAGAAAGGCGCTCAACCGGCCCCGTGAATCGGAGGTAGAGGCACACGATCGATGATCGGCCAGAACATCGTCGTCTCCCCGCTCAGCCGCCGTGGACCCCTCATATCTCCCGTATCTCAACGCCAACGCCTCCCCATGTCCTAGACACCACGCAAAAATGGTGCCTCAAATCAATCTTTACGACACCACCAACCTGATAGATGCATACACCACCATTACACAGGACACGCTTCCCTTGCTTGGAAAGCTCATTACGATTTTCCCCCTTTGGATCCCGTGACTCTGTCTGCGCCTCCTTACAGTGTAAAAGAAGTATCAAAACAACTCACATGACCGTACTCCTCGCGTTTCGCCGTCGGCTCTTGGCATCCACACGAGAGACCACGGGACCAAAAATTCTTCCCCAACTCCATGACATCCGCGAGGCTACGGATACCTTGACTTTTTTGTTTGATGTGTTTATTTCAGTTGGGCGTGCATCGGTATCATCATCATCACCACCGCCACCACTTACTCAGAAACATCATGGGCTATGCTGCGCCTTGGTCGTCTACACGCGGCACAATAGCGGCCACCATTCCATCGTGAGTTTTTAACAATGCGGGGTATATCATTTCAAAGGGAAAAAGTTATCTACACATGAACACCCAACCTAGACGTGTCGGCGGGGAATCTTCCTCATGCATCGCACTCCTATCCCGCTACATCTTCAACTTCCCAAAGCATCCCGCTCTGCCCTCTCCGCCCCCCCAGCACCACCTCATTGACCTTAATCCGTTTGAACAGTGTGGTTTCTCTCTTTTGTTTTTTTGCTCATATATACTCCTACAAGCAATACTGCTTCCTTCAGTGCTTCCCTCCTCACCCCCTGCCCCCCCCCCCCAAACCTCCAATCGATTGAATTTTCGTCACCCCGCAATGCGATCTCGAATAGAATAATGTGACGACGAAGAAGAAGACGAATGTAAACACAAGAAACCGCCTACCCTCGCCTTGCTTTGTCAATAAAAAAACCCCCCCTTCAAATATGCGGGTTCCCAAGTTCAAACATTCCCGTCTCATGCAACCCCTATTGAGAGATACAGAGGCATGAGTAAAGCAACAAAAGATTATCCTGCACGCCCCCAATCCCACAAGCGACGGACACGCTTGCGTGCTCAATTCCATCCCATCAATCCATGTCTCATGTACCTTTTTGATCCCATCCTCTTCACATATCTCTTTTGTGGTGAACTCCTCTGCCGTCTGTCTATCTTGTACCGGATTGCTGCAACTCCACCCCGCTTTACTGCGTACGGTAAAACTTCTTGTACAAGAGATGCAGCAACAAGTTGACGTTCAGCTTGAGGCTCCCCTCAAAAAGGTTCATAAACTGGTGGGCCTCGAACTGGGCCTGCAGCAGATCCTCAATGGGTACGAGGGCGCTTGCCCCCGGCATCTGGATGTGGCCGCGGGACCCCTCGAGCGAGAAGACGCCAACCTCGTCGCACGAAATGGTGAGGTTGACCCTCTCCCAGTCGGTGACGCCACTCCACCCGACGAGCACGCCTTTCTCCGCTAGAGCCCGAGCGCTATATTTGTAACTGCCAAACTTGGGGACCCGCCCGCTGCGTTCCAGTTCGCGCTGGTGGTTGTACTGTTTGGTGAACGGAAGCAGGAACCGTTTCTTTCTGTAAAATATGACGAGATTCGGTCAGCGTATGGCGACACACTTGGACCGTGCTTATAATATGGGGCATTGTGGGGAAGCAAGACTGAAAGTGGGGGAAGGGGAGGAGAATTGGAGATCACATCCGGGGATCGGACATGTGGATATGTGTGATATGCAGAACACGAAAAGGAATTGTCTAGACTTACCCCTTGTTCTTTTGTAATGTCGCCATTGCGGATTCAATGTAGTCGTCATAGCTCTTGCGCTGTTGCTCGAGGTACTTGGCCTTCTCGTGCAAGTTGGCGAGAGTTGACCGAACACCTTCCAATTCACGCTGGCGCTGTACACGTCTTCGGCTCTTGGTCCGGATGTCGAGGGCGATGGCGTTGAGGATATCTTGGTAGTAGTTGTGCTTGGAGATCCGGCCCATGTGCTCCAACCGCATAATGTTCTCAAGCGCCGTACGCTTGAGGTCGTAGTACGACATCCGGGTCACATCCACCATGTGGGCGTCCGAGTACGCGCCCTTCGTGCCGGCGTCGTTGACTCTGTCGTCGCGCAGTACTGACCGCCACTTGTGTTCGTCTTCGGGGTTGATGGGCTTGACTAGAATGTCGAGGAGATTGGCGCCAGTCTGCACGCGAATAATGTACAGGATGCATCGCTTCGTCTCCATGAAGAGAGCCTTAACCTCCGCATCCGGATCGTCGATGTCGTGCAGCTTCGGCGTAAGGTAGAGCTGAATATCAGAAGAGCCTGCCGAGAGCATCTCATTCTCGTTGTTCTTGGCACTACCCAAGTCTTGCAAGATCTCGCGGAGAACGTCGTCTCGGTTGGGGCATACCATCGGAAGATCGCCTACGATGAGGTTGTGAATCGCAAAGATATCCGTCATCTTGATGTACAGAGTTGGCTTATTCTTGGAGTACAGGTCGTTGAACTCATCAATATCGAAATTGCGCTCCGCGTCTGGTACCGAGATGAGGTCGTGGGTGATGTGAGCCAAACGCTCCATGGACTCGCCCACGAAAGCGTTCAGGGGTTGGAGATAGATGTTCTCGCCGCCGAATGGCCTGCCCGAGGCTACCTGACCAAGCACCTTGGCGACCTCTCCGAGATTGCGCTTCTGGAGAGGGCTCAACTGCTTCTCAATGACACCAACGTTCTCGGGAGCAATGACAGCGGGCTGCATGTAGAAGCGCCAAAGCCAGTTCGTGACAATCTGCAAGATGTGGTGTTGGGGTTCTTTCTTGAACTGTTGGCAGAGGGCCTCGAACATTTGGCGACAGAGGAACCGGACACCGTACGGCATCTTGGGCAAGAGGTCCTCCAGGGCCAGCAGGTATTGGTCGCAGATTTCTCGGAGATCACGGAGATGATCGATGAAGAGGTCTCTTGTTTCCGGATCCTTGATGGCCATCTCTCGCGGAACATCCAGAGGACGGCGACTGGGGCGACCGGTCCGTAACTCTTCGTTATTGATGGCTGATCTGTAGATCTGTAGAGGGTCACTCTCGAGGTCAAGAGCGGGATCCTCCACAATATTGTCGCGCACGATAGGGCCAAGAAGCTCCCGGAGGTACTTCCGGTCGCGGGGGGATCGGGTGTAGTTTGCGAGGAGCTTTGTCCAGAAGTAGTTGCCTCGAAGGTAATCTTGGAGGTTTCTGCTGCTTTCAACCTCTTCCCGCATGGCCCTGGCGAGAAGCTTGAGAAGGTAATACTCCTCACGACGCTTCTGGGCGTACCCAAACAGTCCCATCATAAGGTGCTCAATACGCTTGCATTCCTTCTCGGGAGTGCCCTGTTCGCGGATGCGCTTAAAGAGACGTGCAAGGTATTGAGGTTGCGTCTGGAGGTTGAAGAATAGTTGTTGATAAGACTCCAGCTTCTTCCTCGAACTCTTGTTCAATGCCTTCAAGTCAAAGTGGTTGGCGGAAGAAATTGACGAGTTTGCCAGGAGACCGATGGAGTGACCGCCGTAGTTGCTCTGGTGCCTAACAACCTCATCCAGAGTGATCTTGTTCTTGACGAGGAGCGCAATCTTGATATCCAGCTGGTCAATGTACTGCTCCAGCATCTCATTCTGACGGACTTGCGTGACCACAGTCTTTCGCAACCTCTCAAACTCGATCTCCTCGTTGAAATCGAAATCACTGTCGTTGAGGAGATGGACAAAGTTCTTGACGGCGTTGACTGGCGGATCCTTGCCATGAGTAAGACTCTTGTATGCATCTCCCTGAATCTTGGCGCGGACCAGGCTCTGAATTTTGACAACCTTCTCCATGTTCTCCTTGAAGAACCGCTTCTTCTCCTCGTACTTGGCTCGAACGACAAAGGCCTTGGCCGCAGCTTGCATTTCGGCGATAGTTCCTTCTTCTTCCTCGAGATCTGAAATGAGGTTGAAGACATCTCCTCGCACCATCATGGCGCGCGCGAGCCCTTGCAGCTTCTCAATGACGGGAGTGTGAGACTCAAGCTCCTCGAGCAGTCCCGCGTGCTGCTGGCGATGCTGGTAGCCCCGTATGCATGCCTGGAGCTTGGTGATCTTGGGCTCGACGCGGGAGAGCGCATCTTGCTCGGCAGCAACGCGGCGGCGCTCCATCATGGCTCGGATGAGTGATTGGAGATTGATGAAGGTTGCCTCGTGGCTGTTCAGGTCATCCAGCAGCTGGGTGACATCCCGGCGGACGGCTCCGGCTCTGAAATGAGCTTGGAGGCTTTCTACCTCGGAGATGTATTTGGCGAGTTCTGCTTTAGTCGTTTCAACTTCTTTGCGGGCTGAGTTGCCTCGCACTGTTGCTTGGACGAGTTCGACTTCGGCAATATGCTGACTGAGTTCTTCTACTGTCGCTGCGACTTCGGTCCGGACTTCCCGTCCCCGAATTGCTGCCTGGAGACTCTCGACCTCGGGAATGTGGTGACTGAGCTCGACCTTGATTGCTGCAACATCGTTTCGAAGCGTCTGGCCTCGGATCGCGGCTTGAAGAGCAGCCCATTTTGGTGCAGAGCCTTGCAGATGCTCTTGCTCTCGCGAAATCTGATCTCTAGTCAGCAGTGCCCTGGCAGCAGCCTGGAGGCTGACGATGCTGTCGGTCTGTCTGTCAAGAAGCTCGAGGTCGTCTGCAATCCGTCCTCTTAACAACATTCCACGAACAGCCGCTTGGAGGTTTTGGACTTCTCCAGATGTCTGCACCGTCTCTTGCTGTTGAGTAACGAACTCCTTTCGGACCAAGAAACCCCGGAATGCTGCCTGAATTTTTCGCACAGGTCCGGCGTGGCGGGCCAACTGAGATTTTTTATCCCGTACCTCATCCCGGACCTTCTTGGCCCTAACAAGACTCTGGAGCTCCAAGATATCGGGCTCCAACATTTTCCAAAAGCGCTCCTTGTTGGCCATCCTGTTTCGAACGAGAAATCCGCGAACCAGGCTTTGCAAGTCCACCGCGAAGCGTCGCATCTGAAGCCGGTAGCCAATGACTTGGCGGGTAAAATCACCTCGGATGAGAGCTTGGAGGTCGATGAGAGATCCTTCAACGTCCCACAGTTGCTGCATGGTGTCTCCCAGGCGCATTCTCACAACGGCTCCGCGGACTTGTGCTTGAAGCTCAACAATAGCCTCTTCACTCTCACCAAGCTCGCGGTCGATCCTCTCCTCCTCGGTCTCTTCAGCCTCAGGGGTCGCAGGCTCGACACCGAAATCAGCTCCCATATTGCCGAAGCTGGGCATGTTGGCCCCCAGTTTATCAAGACCCTTTTGCATGGCCTCGAGCTCATGGTGCTCAAATTCAAGCTGGCCAACGAGGTTGCCGATACGGAAGTCTACTATTCCTTTTCTGAAAAGCAGCCAACTGAGGGCGTGGATGCAGTGAATGACCTTGGGGATGTTTTTCTTCTCGTAAAGATCGATGAGTTCGAATCGGAAGAGGTCCGGGAGTTCAACCTCGTCCAAGTATCTAAAGAAAATGGCAATGTTGTCGGAGTGCCGGAACTGAAGTTTTTGATGTCGGAAGATGCGGAATCTTCGGTCAGGATTCAAAGCTTCGACAACTTCTGCTAATGTGACGCCGTCTCTAAGAGCCTCCTCCAGTTCGACAATGGGAGGGATCGACTTGTGCATGATGTCCTCGATCCATTCTTTGGCTTCACCGATATGGCAAAGGTATTCGTAGGCCTGAAGGAACTGGCGCTGCTTGTCCATCCAATTCCTCCCTTCCCAGCCATATCCACCGGCGCGCTGGCCAGCTCGACTTGTGTTTGGCTTATCTGCCCTCTGCAATCTTCGTCGACCTCTCAGGCCGATAACTTCTTGTGCTGGGGTTGTGATGGCAAACTCGTCGGCAGACTCGGATTGAGCAAGCTTTGATAAGGTACGTAGCTGGCTCGTGGATGACCGGCCCAGCTTCTCAAGATCTGGTCGTGCTAGAGAAGCAGAGTGCACTGCGGAAGGTGGCTCGTATGCATGAGGTAAAGCTGCGCTGCCTCGGCTGATTGTGTCGGAACGGCCGAGCATCATGGAATTCGGGCGAATCGTCAGAGTTCGAGATATTGGTGTTGGGGAAGTGCTGCCGTCGTACTGGGCGTGTGACAACTTGCCGCTGTCAACGCTCTGGGTGCGTTCATGGCGATAACTTGGTCGAGGCGGCGAGGGGGTCGATGCCGTCGGGGTTGTCTTTGTAGGATTGGTAGGAGATGAAGAGGCGGGCGCTTGAGGGAGCGGGCGTAGAGATTGCCGTGTCATGGAGTAGATGTTGTTGTCTTGTTCCCTCTTGCGGTCAAGGTTCTCTCCTCCGAATGAGACTTGATGCAATCGCGAACCATCACTCTTGCCCCTCTTATGAGAACTTGGTAATGAGTAGCCGCTGGACACTGAAGACAGTTGAGTACTCGCTCGGCTATTCTCAGAGTACAGAGAGTACCCTGAAGATGCGATGGACGAAGCAGTAGAGGACTGACGGTTGATGTTGCCAGGGTAATCCAGGGTATGGGATTGTCTGAGGGGGTGCGGACGGTGTGACATGGTGGGCGAAGATTAGGATACTGAAGGAAGGCTGCAATCGAAAATCTGTGGACTCTGGAATTCGAATGACAACATTAGGGCGCCTTTGTCGGACGTCGGCAGGCAAGGTATGCGGCGCGCGTTGGATTAAGTTTCGACCTCGCGGTCTCGTCTCTTGGGTTGGGCGCTCTCGAGATTCCCTTTCTATAATGTTGGGCGGAACGATCGGGACTAAGCAGGGGGATGATGAGAAAGGCGAAAATTCGAAGCGACCGGCGATGGTGCGCGGCGAAGCGCGGGTGAAGAATGGAGGACGGAGTCTGGAGAAATGAGAGCGCGCACTGCGCAGACAAAGAAGATGTCGGCAATGAAGGCGACACAGCGTTGGCGACAAGGGCAATGATGATGGGAAGGAATATTTCGGCAGAAGATATTAGATGTGCTGCCCACTTGACGCCAGTCCAGCCTCTAGCATTCAAAGAGGACGGTCGCAATCTCGTCAATCGACAAGGTGTGGGCGGGATGTTGGGTCGTTTGGAGGTCGGGCAATGGAGGGGGAGGATGTGAGAGTGGGAGGGCGTCGGGACCTGATAAGGCAGTTTGTTTGTTTACTGCGGCAGCTGGAGGGCGGCAACCAGCCCCCTTGCAACCAGGGTGCCACAGGACCCACTTTGGTACTCGCTGCTGCCAGTGGCCACTGAGACCCGTGGGATCCCCGTGAGACGAGTGGGAGAGCGTGAGAGGCCATGGAAATTCGGGTGGCTTGTGGCTCTTGCTGGCCCCTGCGTCGCACCCGCCCGGCCTTTTAAAGTGGGGACCGATGCAGCAATCTTCCGTTGCACGGCCCTCCGCCCCGCCTCCGCTCTCTGTCAATTGGGTTGTCGTCTGCTTTTCTCTGGGCCAGGCGCTTCTCAAACTTGTCCCAACTTGCCCCAAAAGGTTTCTGGTCAACAATACAAATGGTCCGGTGAGGCCCAAAGCTGCAAGGTCGATCTGGTCAACATGTTCAGGCACTTTCCTTGGAAAAACCTGTCACTGACTGCGGGCCAAACCGTCGCCGCTCTCATCTGACCTCTTTTGACAGATGCCATTGACTACGGATTCCCCGTCCATAACCTTTGACACGTCGTCCAATCTAACCTGATTGAATTTCCTGTCGCCCAGGGAACATTGCTCAACCCTCTGGATGAACCAAGATTGTAGACATCATTGACGACGTCAAGGTTGTGAGATAGAAAACAGCGGGGAATACCTTTGCAAGAACGATGTCAACACGATCGAGGGATCGTAGGACAGACACGCCGTGATGGATACCTCCCCTCCAAAACTCGGTCTTTTATCTGTGGCACCTCCCCATTCTCTAGCTCGATGCATGTCACTGTTTGTAAAACGCCTACGTGCAGCAGTCAATGGACCCGCCAATACGAGCGATATAGTCGTTTGGACAGTCCGAGTAATCCTTAGTACGGATACGTAGGCGAGAAATGTTTCTATTTGTGCATTCGTTCATTTGGCTATTAGTATGTGGTCCGCTGTTTGGTCTTGTTTCTTTTCTTTGTTGCTTTTGGTGTTACGGACCTTGGAACAGCCAATCAGAGCCCACCATTGTTCTCATGTTGACGTGAGGTCACTGTTGCGAACCCTCGATCTCAGCTCACAATGGAAGAACGACGTTTCTAGAGTTTAGGTAGCGCACATTGGCTTTGTTTAGTAGCAGGTGATATATGATCCAAGTCATGATGGATGCGCATTCCATTCGATGAATCCTAAGCGTCCCCTAGGCTCGACTGTACAAGAGGCTCAGCATGGAGGTCGCTTTAGATCATTCTGTATGCTAGAAAGCTATGCTTAGGTAGATGCCAGAAAGAAAAACATGAGGATCAATCCCCAGTACTCGACTCTTCGCTGCTATGGCATCTTGCTTCCTCGGCATCCCACCGCCTTTCGCTCCCGAACGGAAGCATGCAATCACTTCTGCTGGCGTTGGGGTCTGTCTAGCTCACGCAGCCCGAGCAAGGATTGTCCTGCGTCGGTTGCTCTGGCCAACCAAAGGCTACGAACACAAGCAAACTCTGCAGGACTCTTCTCGACAAGGCACCTTGGGTTCCGTCTGGACAGAAAATTTTCATCTGCACTAATGAGGTCCTGTCTCAACAGTTGGCAGCAAAAGCGTTCTCCCTTGTTGTTGTAAATATCAAGCACACTTGGCTAGATTTTCTTGTTCCCAATGCCGACTGCTTGTTTTTTTTTTCGGCCACCAAGGTGCCCGGTGGGGTTGCGTCATATCTCGCGAGTCGAGACCCCGAATGTTTCTTACATAAGGCAATGTCAGATCTACCGGCTGCTACCTGACTTGGCGGCACTATTCCAGACTCGTCCTGGGCGTCTATAATTTCGAAACTCCTTCTTCATGAACAGGAAATGGCGGATGGTTAAGTATAGCCTAAGCGACCAGAGCACCAAACAGAATGCCATCTCCATCATTGATGAAATAACTCATCTCAGGCAAAGAGATTGCATGAACTGGGAAAACAATACTGCGGTGTTGCTGAACACAGTAAAGGCACACTCGAAGGAGTTGCGCCGCACTGTAGCCTCTCACCGCCTGCCCCTCCTGCCCCTCCTTCCGCCGGTCGCGCACCGTTCACTTTAAAAAATTTCCTGCGGGGTGTCGTCTCAAGAATTTTTTTCCCTTCTTTCTTACGGGAAGAAGAGACATAACCAACCTTAGTTTTCGAATCGACCAAGCTTTTCTGTTGCCTTTGGTCTTCTTTTCGAATTACTAGCAAGTTCTTCGACTCCGTTTTCATCTTTCTTCTGTTCACTCGGTAAGAAAACGAGAAAACTTCTCTCTCACACAAAAGATGCCTTCCACCAACGGTATCACCGGCGCCAAGGTGCTCGACTCCAAGACCGCCCTCCAGGTCTTGAAGGAGTACGAGAGCCGCGATGGCCTCGACATTCACGAGCTCATGGACACCAAGAAGCACGGTGGTCTGACCTACAACGACTTCCTGCTCCTCCCCGGCTACATTGGCTTCCCCGCCTCTGCCGTCGTCCTGGACTCCCCCGTCACCAAGAGAATCACCCTCAAGACCCCCTTCGTGTCCTCCCCCATGGACACCGTCACCGAGCACGAGATGGCCATCGCCATTGCTCTGCAGGGTGGTCTCGGTGTCATCCACCACAACTGCTCCCCCGAGGAGCAGGCCGACATGGTCCGCAAGGTCAAGCGTTACGAGAACGGCTTCATCATCGACCCCGTCGTCATCAGCCGCGACACCACCGTCGGCGAGGCAAAGGCCTTGAAGGAGAAGTGGGGTTTCGGAGGATTCCCCGTCACAGGTTTGTCAACCCCCCCCCCCCCCCCTTTTTTTTTTCCCCCCCCCCCCCCTTTCCCCCCCCCCCCCCCCCACCCCCCCCCCCACCCCCCCCCCCCCCCCCCCCGCGGGCGGGGAAAGGCCTTGAAGGGGGAGGGGGGTTTCGGAGGATTCCCCGTCACAGGTTTGTCAACCCCCCCCCCCCCCCTTTTTTTTTTCCTTACCTACCTACCAAAGCCTGTTCTCCCACAAGCTTCAGTTCCCCTCGCTTTACATGATTACAAACCTTTTTCAATTATAACTTTCGTTCCACCAATTCGACGACCATGTCGTTCTGAGGAGACCTTATACTATGATCAAAGCAAAACCTTTACACATTTTCTATCAACTGCAGCGGGTTGCGGCCCGCCAGAAAACACACAGACATGACTAACCATCGTCTGCAGAAACCGGCAAGCTCGGCTCCAAGCTGCTGGGAATCGTCACGAACCGCGACATCCAGTTCGAGGACGACGCCTCCCTCTCCATCTCCAAGGTCATGGTCACCGACCTCATCACCGCCTCCGACGGCACCGACCTGTCCGAGGCCAACAAGATCCTCGCAAAGTCCAAAAAGGGCAAGCTCCCCATCGTCGACAAGGACGGCAACCTCGTCTCCATGATCTCCCGCTCCGACCTCAACAAGAACCAGCACTTCCCCCTGGCCTCCAAGCTGCCCGACAGCAAGCAGCTCCTCTGCGGCGCCGCCATCGGCACCCGCCCCGAGGACAAGCACCGCCTCAAGCTCCTCGTCGACGCCGGCCTCGACGTCGTCATCCTCGACTCCTCCCAGGGTAACTCCATGTACCAGGTCGAGATGGTCCAGTGGATCAAGAAGGAGTTCCCCGGCCTCGACGTCGTCGGCGGCAACGTCGTCACCCGCGAGCAGGCCGCCACCCTCATCGAGGCCGGCGTCGACGGCCTCCGCATCGGCATGGGCTCCGGCTCCGCCTGCATCACCCAGGAGGTCATGGCCGTCGGCCGCCCCCAGGCCGCCGCCGTCCACTCCGTCAGCAGCTTCTCCGCCCGCTTCGGCGTCCCCTGCATCGCCGACGGCGGCGTCCAGAACGTCGGCCACGTCGTCAAGGGTCTCTCCCTCGGCGCCTCCACCGTCATGATGGGCGGTCTCCTCGCCGGAACCACCGAGTCCCCCGGCACCTCCTTCGTCTCCCGCGAGGGCAAGCTCGTCAAGGCCTACCGCGGCATGGGCTCCATCGACGCCATGCAGGACAAGAAGGCCGGCAACGGCGGCAAGGACAGCCAGAAGAGCAACGCCGGCACCGCCCGCTACTTCTCCGAGGGCGACAGCGTCCTCGTCGCCCAGGGCGTCACCGGCTCCGTCGCCCACCGCGGCCCCATCAGCCGCTTCATCCCCTACCTCTCCGCCGGCCTCAAGCACTCCATGCAGGACTGCGGTATCCAGTCCCTCAAGGAGCTCCGCGAGTCCGTCGACAACGGCACCCTCCGCTTCGAGCTCCGCACCGCCAGCGCTCAGATGGAGGGTAACGTCAACATGGAGTCCTACGAGAAGAAGCTCTTTGCCTGAAAAACGGTAAAGAATCTAGCTGGCTCGTAGTAGTACTAGCAGTAGGCTACCACGCGACATGAGAAAACGGATAACAAAGATGTCAATTGGGAATATTTTCTTCTTTCTTAACCAATATGGGTGGACCAAAAAAATAGGGGTTGATGAAAATCAAAGTGGGCAAAATGGGACTTGGGAGGATACAAAATTAGAAAATCAGCCTCTACACCCTCACCCTTTCCGAAGGGGAGGGCGAAGCAAAAGACGGGCTTTGGGCAGGGCGGTAGTGCTTCAGTATAGCGGAGTTTTCGGAGTCTATGGGAGAAAAAGGGGTGGTCGGGCCTGAGACGCCTCTTGAGATGGATGATGCAGCGAACTGAATACCAAAAAACCTTCTCTCGAGGAGAAAAGAAAAATTCAAAACCGGTTTCAATGATCATGACTCTTCGTTCCCTTTGCTGGTTCTCACGTGAAAATCGTGTTGATGTATAACCATACGCAAACGTACTTGAGTTACGTTCTAAGAAGATAAACTAGGCCATGTTCATCATGCGTCGGCCGATCTGTCTGTAGCATGTAAGCAAACACTCATCACCCACCATCCTCGACACCATATTCCATCCTAAACCAATTGTTGACATGTTTGTGATATTAAGCTGCTATAGTTGGTTCGAAACTTCTTCTCGCAAAGAGCAATGCCCATGTAGATGTGTTCAAGTGCCTACAACGAAACCGAACAATAATGATGCTTTTGATAACCGCCCAGAACCAAACCAAAACGAATGCCCTCACTGACGACAAAACAAGCCGTTACGGAACCTGCAATGCTAGACGCCAGGCAATGATGGACCTAGATATGCCACAAAGGTAAGAAAAGCACCCACCAACCAATGCCAGCCTCAATTTCAAAACCCCCAGAAGAGCTGGCCGTAGATCTCGTATATAGCGTTTCCTTCTTGCATCATTCTCGTTCGAAACGTCAATTGCGCGCTTGCGAAAAACATGAAAGCAGCATGCCAGTCATCATGGGGTAGGGAAGGCACATCAAGACCGCGTGGGACTGACGGAATCGTATCCCGGTGCCCCATTCTTAGCACTCAACAAAGGCGCCGTCTCATTCGAGGTGGCCTGTCCACTGCCAGAAGCAACAGCACTGCCTTCGCTGGCGTAGCCCTCATCGCTAACACTCTCATCCTCGTCATCGCTCGTGTCAGGGGTCTGAGTCAGAGCATCGTAGTCGACCAGCATGTAGATGGGGATGGCTCCAATGATGGCAGTGAGCGCGAGGAACCAGTAAGCGGTGATGACATAGCCTCTGGCAACACCCCAGCTGAAAGCGGCACCCGCAACGGCGGGACCGAAAGCACGGCCGAATCCACTGAACATAGTCGCGAAGCCGTTGAGGGTACCCAGGATACGGAGCGAAGAGGCCGAGTTGGTCAGGAGGATGGTCATGCACGGGAAGCCAATGATTACGGCACAGGCTTTGACGAACATGACTATCAAGAGAGCGGTATAGCGCCCTGCAGTGCTCTCGAAGAGGACCACATAAGGGGCCAGAATGTAGACAATGGGAAAAGTCACGGCTGCACAGACGGTCAATTTCAAATGCAACATACATAGCAGAAGATAGGATACGCACCACATGCGCGGAAACAACGCAGGACACCAAAGTAGTTGCACAGAGGTGGGAAGACGAAAAACTGGATCACGCCGCAAGTGATGCCATAGATGGTGAAAATGGTACCGATGCGGCCAGAGTCGAGGCCAAAGCCACCAGAAAATTGGAAGGGTAGGTTCGTGTTATCCGGGGTGTGCACCTGCTTGGGGTAGTTTAGGAACACTGGCAGAACCTGATCAAAGGCCACGGAGTGGAGGGCGAGGAAGGTGTAGCAAAGCAAGTTGATACTCGTCTGAGCAGTGAAAACCTCCTTCATGCTGGGTGCCTCCAGAGCCTTGTTGTCATCGACCGGATGTGTTGGGGGAGTCTTGTGAGGCACCAGGGGTGCGGTAGCCTCGCCGTCAACAAACGAGGTGCGTCGAGCTCTAGCATGGTGATGATGGTGATAACGAGAGCGGCGGAACGAGCGAGTGATGCGTTCGCCCATCAGGAGTCCCCAGTCGGGCTTGTGTCGCTTGCTCTCGAGCGTTTCCTTGAGGAAGAGAGTGGCGGTCGTGACTGAGATGAAGAAGAAGACCGCAGCGATGAAGTTTGGCAAGGCAAAGGGATACGCCTTGAAAAACCAGCTACCGCCAAAGACAGCGGGGAAGCGGTCGGCTGGTCTGGCAAAGAACCCGCCAAACGCCGGGCCGAAGATGGAGCCAACGGACCAGATGAGAGGCATAATCGAGAATGCACGGGGTTGTAGTTCCTTTTCTGGCACCATCTCTGCAACCATGGTGCGGATGATACCAACTAATCCAGTGTCAGCGTCAGATGAAAACCCTACAGATCAGAGGGAAACGCACCATTTCCGTTACCACTTCCGAGAATAGCTCTCACAGTGATGGCCATGGGCAGACTTGTTGAAACACCCCAAACACAGAAGAAGAACATTGTTGATAGCAGGCCGACGATGATGGTTGGTTTTCTTCCAAATCGATCAGAAGCTCTACCCCACGGTACCGCAGTTACACTCTGTGAAAGCGAGAACACGGCGGACGTGATACCGGCCCATTTTGCGACGTCGTTCTGTTCCACGCCGAAACTGCGAATCATCTCGGGCAGGTATGGGAAGACGGATGTGAGGGCGAGAGGCTCCGCAAACCGCGCAACGGCTGTAATCGAATTAGCTTCGTGGCCCAGAAGAAAAATGATGAATGCCTCTCATGGAGTATCGAAGGCACCCTGGGACGAGTTGTTGTCAAATCTCCATCCTTTATTCCAGCTTTTTGTACACGCTGGAGCACTTTCGGCTTGGTAACGTTTGTCGGCCTCATCGGTTCACGTTGATCAGGCAGCTTGGAAGATCAAGACCATGCTATAGTCGCATTTCGAGGTAGGTTTGGAGTACGTGTGTCTAAAGGCAGAGTGGCGGTAACAAGGCGAGAACACGCAGATTTCCACCTATCCATACCCTCGTAGTCTACCAAGGCGATCCCAAGAAAATCGCAATCCTTCCATCGCATGACCCTGAAGTTTTTCGGAGACCGTCATGCCTGGTCTCGCGGCACTTGCCTCGCTTTGGTTGTCACCGGTACTATCGGATCTGTTGAAGGCTGGTTTGAAAGAAAAAGCAAGCGTTTGACATGTTCTGAAATGCGAGGTTGCCTTACCCAGAATGGCCAGCTGCTTCGCGGGCAACTTTGGCTTTGTCGGTTTCGTCATTTCGGCAGTTGAAGGAGCAACCAAATCGCGCTGAGCAAACCCGAGCTCTACGGTTCGATTATGCGTGGTCAAAGTTCTGTGACGTCGAGTTTACGAGGTCGAGGGCAGATGAATCGGGACTAGGACGTGAAGCAAGAGTCTAAGGCAGGTGGGAAAAAAGCAGCGGGGTAATATGATGCGCTCTGCTATGCGGCTTGGCAACAAGATGTCGAGAGACAAAGGCAAATGGCAGGAAATATGAACCGGAGGCGGCCACCGCCTTCTTTAAACCAAAGGCAAAGTTTATTGGAGAATTTGGGGAAGGAGAGGACAAAAAGAGTCACAAGAGCAGTGGCAGTGGAAGGCGAAGAAAAAAGACGGTTCGTCAAGCGCAAACAAAAAACCAACGGCATTGATCCACTTTCCAGCTGCAGGCTTGCGGCTGCACTGCGCCGGACAGGGAATAGCGTGGGTATGCAAATTCATGGAACCGCAGTCATCCCCCCCAGTTCTTGCAGTTCTTGCAGTTCCTTAGTAGGGACCCCATAAAGCGTGAAGGGTGCAATGAGCCCGGCGTCCAAGGGGACCAGACTCATTTTTTCTCTTCCCTTCCCCATCCATGATCCTGCGCCGATCCCCGCTCTTTCTGCTGACGGAAGATTTCTAGTCGATGACTGGCCGACGGGGCTTCGTTTTTGAAGGGGGCCACGGGGCTGACCACCGCGAATTGGGGAACGGGGCCTTAGATGGCCATGCCTCCCGGGGATTAGATGGAGAACTTGAGAGATGGGAATTCCCGCTTGCCGTAGAGGTTGGCTTGGCAAGGCAAACCAGCGCTAGAGGTAATGGGAAGAACGACTTGCGATAACCTAGCGCAGACTGCGTGCGCATCAGCATTGCCATTAGAGATAAGTGCGTGACGGTGATGACGGCAAGCGAAGAGGAGCGCGAGACGCGAGCCAAAATCAAGTGGCCAACGAAGTGTTCTGTTGCATTGCGGTGATGGAGCAAGATGGGATGACCGCGGACGTCGAGTGTCTCGGAAACGATCAAGTGCTATTAGCTAGGGGACGCTGGTTCGGCTTGAGCGGTGCCCCGTGTCTCCCTCTTTCTCGGCTTCAGACTTGGTCCAAGGAGCAATGCGCTCGCTCGCTGCGAGCCGGCTACATCGCATCCCCCTGTTGCTGAAGCGAAAGGACGTTGGGCCCGGTCCAGGCGATACGGCGGCAGCGGGCGGGCGATCGGGCGGGTACTGGGTAGTAGCAGGGAACGTCGTACTCCGTAGGGGGGCAGGGCCGGCGTAATGCTTGAAAGACCGCAGGCGAAGGACGTCCGTTGTCGGCAGAGGCTTGGGAGTTGAAGTCGGTGAGGGTGTGCAGGATGCAACGGCTTGCACGGGCACGAGAAAAAGGGCAGGGGTCCTCGCTGTAGCCGGTGGTGTGCGGTGGTGCAGCCGAAAAAAAAGCTGATGATGGTGGTGGTGGTGGTGCTCCTCCAAGGCTCCTACAACGCCTCAAAAGATGGAACGAAAAAAAAGCGATAAAAGTGCTGGAGCGCAAGGTCAAGAGGTCGCCATCCCCGCAATTGCCATGACGTCCAGTCTTTGACGGTGGGGGGCCTCTTTTCCCGGCGGCGTTAGGCCGACTTGGCCGAAGCCGGGGCCGAATGTCGGGGCAAGTGCGACAATAGCTGAATAATCATCACGAGCCGACTGGACAGGGGTGATCCTCTGCTTCCAGCGCCAACGAAGCACCTGAAGCATGAGTCCAAACATGGCTATCCCAAGACATTTGTGCTGAAAGCTGTGAGACAACACACCGCCATACGAGAGAGAGAGGCTGCAAAAAATCAAAGGTAGGCAGTCACGTCTGATATACTTTGTACTTGCGCTGCCGCTGCGAGAAGGCAGATTCGGTGAGTGGTGGTTGGTTGTCCAGGGAGTGTATCCGTACTGAAAAGGACTGATTGGACGACATTGACCCAATCAATTGCGTGATCACCGACGTTAGCCGATGCACGCAGCCACCGGGAAGAGGGCGTCTCTTGACTCGAATCCAAGACAGGCGGCAAAGGCGCCCTTTAGCCTTCACGGTAGCCAAAGCTTAGATAGCTTACCTTACCTAGATGATGTAACATGTTGACCTTGACGACTGATCAAATGTCTGACAGTCTGAGCTCCGGGCTGCGCAGCTAACGGCGACAATCGATGCGGCGTCACGGGACGGGATGCTGGGGCCGTCGATGCAAGTTTGGAAGTCGAATCGCACCGGAAAGACTTCCGTATGCCGTTCTCCGTGAGAAAAATTGTTATCGCTGGCTATCTTGATTCCGGGCTTTTTCCAAACGTCGGCACCGGGACGCCGATGACCCGCTCTCGTTCCTCCCCGCCCCCTCGTCTGAACCCCCGAATCAGGAAGGAGACCCAGCGTCAAGGCAGAAGCTGTTCAATCACGTTTGCGGGTGCCAGTGCCAGTGGAGGATTCACCAGGCGGCGGCAGCCGATCGGCAAAATCACCACTGATGCTGATAACATCGACGAAGCACGCAATGCTCATGGCAACTTCAACTCTGTTTCAACTACATCTCTGGTAAAAAGGCGCAGAGATCATTGTTGACGACGGCTTCGGTTTTCGTATTGCAAAGATGGCGCTAGAGTAAGTCGGTTCAATTCTGTTGCAGCCTGGGTGTCTCTGTCCTTGTGAGCAGCTCTAGGAGCTTGAAGAGAGCTTACCAGAGCTTAGTGTGGCTGGCGGCGACGGGATGATGCAACCATCTTCGTCAGCCACACGTGCTCCCGCGTCTCATCCTCCTGCCTGGTAACCTACATCACATCACTCACTTCATCGTCGAATCGCCCGTCGATGAGCTCTCAACGTGTAGTGTGAGCATGCTTTTGATACATTCACGCTGACCCTGATTCAGAAAGCGTTTCGACGACAAAATGTCTAATGAGCGGACGCCGCTTATCACCAATGTCTACATTGGTGCGCCGCGCCGCAGGTACCCGAACCACGTCCTGCGCCGGTTCTGCACCGTTGCACTCTCTTCCATCCTTATTTTCTGGTCCATCTTCTTCGTAGTTGCGCTCTTCATTGATGAGCCTCCTCGTCACCACGGTCACCACCATCACGGCTGGTCCTGGACGAACAGCGTCGACAGTGTCCCCATTACCCACGAGGAAGTGCAAAAGATCCTCTTTGAGGTACCCTCATCCGAAAAGGCCGAGGAATGGAGCAGGTATTACACTGCCGGTCCCCATCTGGCGGGCCAGAACTACTCTCAGGTAAGCATATTGCAGCCGTTATTACGGGACTACCATCTTACAATGTGTGACAGGCCGCATGGACGAAGGAAAAGTGGGAGTCGTGGGGTGTGCAATCCGAAATCGTGTCGTACGACGTCTACCTGAACTACCCCATCGACCATAGTCTTTCCCTTCTGTCCAAGGCCAAGGAAGAAGAGTCTACTTGGACGGTAGAGTTCAAGGCTGCTCTCGAGGAGGACGTCCTTGAGGAAGACCCCTCTTCCGGCTTGGAGGACAGAGTCCCGACTTTCCACGGCTACTCCGCCAGCGGCAACGTCACCGGATCCTTTGTCTTTGTCAACTACGGCACGTACCAGGACTACGAAGACCTCGTCAAGGCCAACGTCAGCCTCGAGGGCAAAATCGTCATTGCAAAGTACGGCGGCATCTTCCGCGGCCTCAAGATCAAGCGCGCCCAGGAGCTGGGTGCCATCGGTGCTCTTCTCTACAGCGACCCCGGCGATGATGGCAAGGTGACCGAGGAGAACGGATACGAGGCGTACCCCAACGGCCCTGCCCGTCACCCGAGCGCCGTTCAGCGCGGAAGCGCCCAGTTCCTCTCCCAGCGCCCCGGTGACCCGTCCACTCCTGGGTACCCCTCCAAGCCAGGCGCGCCGCGTGCTCCCGTCGATGATGCTACGCCTTCCATCCCCTCCATTCCGATCTCTTACGCTGATGCCCTCCCCATTCTCAAGGCTCTCAACGGCCACGGCCCCTCCGTCAAGGACTTCAACAAGTACTGGAACAGGAATCTCGGACTCAAGTACAAGGGCGTTGAGTACAACATTGGTCCCACTCCCGATAACGTGGTCCTGAACCTCTACAACGAACAAAACTACACCACCACACCACTGTGGAACGTGATCGGTATCGTCAACGGTACCATCCCCAACGAGGTCGTCGTCGTCGGAAACCACCGCGACGCCTGGATCGCGGGTGGCGCCGGCGATCCCAACAGCGGCTCCGCCGTTCTCAACGAAGTCATCCGCGGCGTCGGCGTCGCCCTCGCCAGCGGCTGGAAACCCACCCGCACTATCGTTTTCGCCAGCTGGGACGGCGAAGAGTACTCTCTGATCGGCAGCACCGAGTGGGTGGAGGAGTACCTCCCCTGGCTCACCGAAGCGTCCGTCGCCTACGTCAACGTCGACGTCGGCGTCCGCGGCCCCAACTTTAACCCCTCCGCTGCGCCCCTCCTCCACCGCGTCCTCCGCGAGGTCACCCAGCTCGTCCCCTCACCGAACCAGACCGTCCCGGGCCAGACCGTCGCCGACGTCTGGGACGGCCGCATCAGCACCATGGGCTCCGGCTCCGACTTCACCGCCTTCCAGGATTTCGCGGGCATCCCCTCCCTTGACTTCGGCTTCGGCGGCGAGAACGGCGACGTCGTCTACCAGTACCACTCCAACTACGACTCCTTCCACTGGATGAAGGAGTTCGGCGACCCAGGCTTCGTCTACCACCGCACAATGGCCCAGATCCTCGGCCTCGTCGTCGCAGAGCTCGCCAACGTGCCCGTCATCCGCTTCAACGCCACCGACTACGCCGACGCGCTGACGGACTACGTCGACCAAGTCGAGGCCAAGCTCACCGCTACCATCGAGGACGTAGACTCCGACGAGGACGCGCTCTTCCGCATGCGCGCCACCGTCGCCGTCGCCGACGCCGACGCAAAGGGCTCCCTCTCGCAGTTCCGCACCTCGCTCCAGATCCTCCGCACCTCCATCGCTGCCCTGCGCGAGAAGACGGTGGTGCTCGACACAAAGGCCGGCGAGGTCAACTGGGAGCTCAAGTACGGCAGCATCCCCTGGTGGAACCTCTACCGCAAGATCAAGCTCGCCCTGGCCTTCGTCTGGGTCAACAGGTCTTACAAGGGCTTCGAGCGCAACTTTTTGTACCCCGGCGGCCTGGACGGCCGGACCTGGTTCAAGCACGTTGTGTTTGCGCCTGGTTTGTGGACTGGGTATTCTGGAGGTAAGCTCCCTTTTTTTCCGTGTTTCCTCCCTTTGGTTTTGCCACCCAGACCGTTCTTGATGAGTTGCAACGCTAACATGTATAATCCAGCCGTCTTCCCTGGCCTCCAGGAGAGCATCGATGCCAAGGACTTCAACAACGCTCTCAAGTGGACCGGCATCATCAACGAGTGCATCGCCTCCGCCACCAAGAGTCTCTGAAACCCAGAAGTCTAGGTTGCAAAATAGCCGTAATGTACTACACTCCATACTGTACTTAGCAATCACCGTATTCTTGAGTAGCAAATACAAATAAAGAGTCATATCCTCCGAACATTGAGAAGAAATCTCCGTCTTATTCTAGTTATTTTACCCCCCTTTAGTGTACAGCTATCTAGTCAATATACTCAAAAGTCGGCATTCAATAGGTCTCAAAGTTAATGAAAGGAAAAAAGAGTTCACCCCCCCGGTGTTGGACTGGGGGCTACATCTCTTGGTGCACATGCTGGGAAATCTCTGGTGCTCATACTGGGATTCGAACTCGGGTACTTTTCGCTAAGCCTGTCGTCGAGTAAGGCTGATTGGCGTTATTGATCTGATTGTTGACCATAGACCACTCCACCACCCAGCCAGTTTTGACCTGACCCGTCGACCTAGACGGGCGCCTGCTGACTGGTGACGGAATTGGCGCTGTGAGGGTATATATAGGGCAGGTGCCGTACGTAGATAGGGACCGAGGGAAGAGCATGTGGGTATTCAGTCACGTATACCTCGAACCGGCGAGCGGAAAGTTCGCATGGTTCACCGGATTAGATAGACTTCCATTCCGAGAACCTCGCCGAGGTCCTAACTCCACTAGGATGATATGATATACGCAAACCGCCAGCATTCATTGAGGAATCTAATGCGTCTATTCGCCTCAGCTACTCATACAACAAACAAGGTTCTTCTCCTCGACGCTCTTTACGACATCTAGACTGCCCCTCCATCTAACAAGCCAAAAAGAAAAAACGCCCTAGAACTTGTAGACCTGCTCAGGAGAGTACCCCAACTCCTTGAGGGTACCAACAAGCTCGCCCTGGTCCTTGGGGCTCTTCTTGTTACCAGAAATAGCATTCATCAGCCCGGGGGGGCCGCACACGAAAACCTTGATGTTCTCGCTCTTGGGCTCGGGGAGGACCTGCTTCAGCAGCTCCTTGCTGATGAAGCCCTTGTTGCCGCTCCACTCCTTGGGCGGCTTGTCGAGCACGTAAAAGGCGCGGAAGCGCTGCGGGTACGTGTTCTCGAGCTCGGCGAGCTCCTTCTTGAGCAGGATGTCCTCCTCCGTCACGTTGCCGAACACGAGCGTCACCTTGGTCTTGTCCTCGGGGTTGTTGAAGATGGCGCGCGCGAGCTGGTACATGGGCGTGATGCCCGTGCCGCCGGCGACGAGGGCGATGTGCTCGTGCTTGTTGGGGGACCAGGCGTACTTGGGGAGGGGTCCCTTGAAGTCGAGGCGCTGGCCGGGGGTCATGTCGTGCATGTGCGTCGACATGGGGCCGTTGGGGTACTTCTTGACGATGAGCTCGAGGTAGCCCTTGGCGTCTGTCGTGTTGTTAGTCTCGGGTATCGAGCAGCATGATCAGGACTCCAAGAAGAAACCAGGGGGGGGAATACGAACCCTCATCGCTGGTAGGAGTATAAGGCCTCAACGTAGCCTTCTCGTCCTCGGGACCCTTGTACTTGGTCAAGATGGCGCTCGCGACGTCGAGACCAGAAACCATGTCGTCCTCGGGCAGCTTGAAGCGCAGCTTCTTGGTGTTGTGGTTGATGATCTCAGAGTCCTCGAGCTTCAGGGACACGAAGCCCTGGTCGCCGCCCGTGAGCGCCTTCTTGGGCGCCGCACCGACGGCCTCCTTGACCTTGGCCTCGGCCTTTTGCGCCGCGCCCGAGGAGCCTCCCGCAAGGAAGTAGTAGGCGCCGCCCGCGACGGCGGCCGCGCCGCCGGCATAGAGCGCCGTGTTGGAGCTGCTGCCCTTGGCGGCGGGCTCGGTGGCGTAGCGACGGGCTTGCTGTTATGGGAGAAGATTTGTTAGCCTTTGCATTGCTTATCGCCTCAAGAGGGTAAAAGGAAATCATTGTTTCATTGGGAGGGGCCAGGATGGGGTTGTGATGTTGGCAAAGGTGGTATGATGTATTTGAATGTGTGGAATCGCAACTCGGGAACCGCTCCGCGACCCGCGGGGGGAAACGAGGATTTCCAATGAGCGAAGGATGGAGAGAGAGGGAACAGCGTCAGCTATCTTACCAGCTTGAGGGGCTGCGCGACCCTGAAGGCGGTTCTGGCAAACATTGTGATGGTTCAATTGAAAGTTTTCAAGCAGCCGGGAGAGGTAATTGACAGGTATGTGATTGGGAAATGGACCAAAGGGTGTTTTTTTTGCTGCTGGGAGAGAGAAGCTTAGGTATCCGAGACTCGCAACAGAAGCTCAAAGCCGCCCGCAATGGAAAGCTTTCCCCGGGCGACCATTGACCTGTGCATGACGTAAAATGTCACGTGAGCTCATGTTTCCTGCGTCCGATCCCTGCCGAACTGGCCGAGGGGATGGGCACAGTTAGCGGCGTGCCGGTGGGAAGCCCATGGGGATAACTGATGTGCATTTCTAAGCAGAATGGACAACGTGCTCCAAAAGGCTCATTACGAATTGCGCCATACCTCTGCCAGCAGTGAACAGGCACATTTGGGCGCAAGCGTTGGCCAAGAACCAGCTGTGAATCTGGTTCACGGTTTGCACCAGTAGGCAAATTAATCCACAAAGACAACCGGCTAGAGATGTTAAAGAAACGTTTCTTGACATTCCCCAAGAGGAGAAAACAGGGGATCACCCCGATTATTATATACAAGCCGACAGCTTCAATCGCCGTGGACTTAAAAATACGGTAAACTCCACCCCGTCTTTAAAGGGGATCTGACGTAGTCCCGGGCATCCGATGGCGAAGCAAGCCGTCTTTCGTCCTTGTTTTTCAATATTGATGCGTCCCTCCACCTGGGCCCTTGATCATAAAGTTTTCCATCATCCAAGCTACATGCTGAAAGCGACCGACCAGGGGCTCTTCTCTCTTTATGTCTCCCGAAATATAACAACTGTACGCCTCTTGATCGTCAAACCGAAACCAGAAACGCTCCTCCCTAACGTTCCTCATAGTACATGATTCGTGACAGGTCCCCAGAGGAGAAGGGAACCTGCCAAGCAAGAAGTCCCTCAAGTCAGACGCGAGCGAATGCTTCTTGGTCGTCTCTCATCACCGCTCAGTGTCCATGGCGTCGGGGTCTGCGGGTTTCTCGGTGGGGTTTGTTGCTTTGGGTGTGCTAGATCGGTCGACTAGCTTGCTCTCTGTGATCGCCTCCGTCAAGGGGCTCACTTGGGAATCCGTCTTCTTCGCCCCAGTGTCCTGACTGCCTCGGCGCATCATGCCGATATCCTGGTGCGAAGCTAGAGTTGGCGTGTTGGCCTGGCTACCACCTCTTTGGCCGTGGTAATGCACCACTTGCGGAGGAGGTTGGCCGGATTGAAGGCCAAGCTGCTGTGTAGGGTACGGGTCCAAGTCCTTGCTGGACGTAGAGAACGTCGAGACCACGGGTTGGTGGTATCCGTTGGAAGAGGACTGGCTTCCGGTCGGTGTATGACCTTGTGGGTGGTGCTCTGCTTGCGTCGGTGTTCCAACATCATTGGGGGACGTAGAGCCCTCGCCAAGATTACCGGTCAGACTATTCATTCCGCCTTCGATATCTCGCAGCAGACGAACGTATTCCTCAGGGACGAGTCCGCTTTCCTGAGTCTTCGGGTCTTCGGCTACTAGCCAGCCTTGGCCGTGGCGGTAGGAAACCCATATGATTTGACCTTCCAGTAATGGCAATTCGTTTTCGTTCTCTCTTTCAAAGTCAAAAAGCGCAACAGCTTTGCCGTGCATTTCTTCGTCGGGCGACGTGATGGTGAACTGGTAATCCCGGGAATATCGTGACTGGTCATCGCCGCGGAAACCTGGAGAGGATGCGGAGCTTGAAGCATCCGAATATGTCTCCTGCTCGGCGTACTGCCGCGGGGGCAGGTCACCTAGCTGGTATGCGTGGCTGGAATGCCGTGCATCGCCGGGAGGGTAGGTGACATATTCTCCGCCGGGTCCATTCGCTTCACCTCCTTGGTTGAGGTAATACCGTTCGCTGCCATCACCACTCGTTCCGACGTAGTAACCGCGTTCCCGTTGTTCGTAGTGTGCTGGGTGCAGCATATCGTTGCCCGCGTCGCGAGAATTTCTCAGCCCTGCGGCTGCGGTGCCGCCAAGGGCTGCTGCGGAAGATTTGTGCTTTCGGTGCCTGGAGCTGACAACAGGGCTCGCCAAATCCTCATCCTCACTCCAGGGTGGGCCATCCCGGAATTCCATGGGTGGCAGGTCGTGGGCCTTGCCGAAGCCCTCTGGACCCCAGGAGCCAGTATTCCAGGTCATTTTCGTTTCCCAGGCAGCGGGAGGATCGGATAGACGACGAGATTCGCTGAGGGGAGTGCTGAGGCCAGAAGCAGGATGCGACGGCTCTGGCGGGGGACCATAGTGCATGGGATGCATAATTGGATATGCGAAATCGCGCACCAGGGTGTAGGAGAGACTCGAGGGAAACATTGGAAATATGTGAGAAGGCGGTCGCGAGCGCGAGGGGACTGAGCCCGTCGAGTATTGCGACAAGCGATTTTTGGAAGCGTGCGACATTGGTCTCGGTGCGGTCGAGCGACGGCTGGGTGGTGATGTTATTAGTGGCGGTAGTGAGGGGTGATTCGGGTTGGTGGAGGGAGAAGCAGCTGCAGGTGGGGATGTCGCGGGCGAGGAGCTCTGGGACAAGAGTGTGGTCATTCTGAGATTATCGCAATCGTGGAGGAGCCAGCGTAAGGATGACAGGCACCCGATTCGCGGATCCTGCGGCGTCGTGTGCCACCAAGCAAGCCAAGTGCTCAGTAGGACCGTCGACCGCACTCGTCGCGCGGAAAATGTAGTAGGAATTCGATTGGCAACAGCTAGTGTCGGGAGCGACCAAGGCTGTGAATTTGAGGGTTGCGCGAGTGTTATCGTGAGTTATGCTGCCCGCGACTCGGAGCCGATTAGCCTATGAAGAGGTGCGGGCGGGCGGGCAGACTGCGAGGGTCACAGTTCCGAGCAAGGCGAAGACGAACAGAGTTGGGGTTTGAAAAGAAGGCGGAGCAACAGCAAGCGGGCTTGCTCGCAAGGTGTCGCAAAACGAAAGTCGTCGCACGCGACGCTGAGGGTTGGAAATCGAGTAAGGAGCGTTGAGAACTTAAAGCCGGGAGCGGACGAGCGATGAGATCGGCTCGCGGGGTCGCTCGGGGGTAGGCAGGACAATAATGAAGATGGAAGAAAGAAGAGCACAGGATGCGGAGAGCGATGGGGAGGAAGAGAAGAAACGGTGGGAAGAGGAGAAGATGGGAAGAGGAAGAGGAGGGAAGGTGAGGTTGGGAATAGTTCGTTTGGGTTCAGGTCGCTGGCGCCGTTCTGGCTGCTCTGCTTCTCTGGTGCTGGGCAGCCGCTGCGCTGCGAAGAAAGAGAGTGTCCCCGTCGCTTCTTTGCTCGTGCCGCGCAGGTTAGGTGGTGGTAGTGGTGGGTTTGCGAGGTGAGGTGCCAGCAGTAGGGGAGAGAAAAATAAAAATAAGAGGTATATTGCGATATGGTGCACGAGGTAAAGGTACTCGAAAAGAAAGTCCCGTCGTCTGGTAGTAGGCAACAGGGAAGGTACCTACAATGATGCAGACAACAAGCAAACACCTCCTCAGTCAGCAGACAACAGACAACAGAGCCCACGACGCATCCAGAGAGAGAGAGCAGAGAGAGCAGAGAGCTCAGGTAGAAGTGGCCGTGCCTTTGCGTCCTTTGCTCGCACCAGACGATGCAGCAGTGAGCACAGATTTGACTGGACTCTTGGACTTCTGGATTCTGGACTCTGGGCTGACCCACGCTGGACTGAAGGTGCGACTAATTCTCGTGGTACCTCGAGGTACGGAGATATGTACCCAACTACCTCTAGTGGCCGTCGAGCAATGACACGATCTCCAAGTACCACAGCTGTGGATGGATACTTGGTTTTCGTAGGGTTTCTTCTGGTAGGACCAACTGGGTCAGTGAGTACCTTATGGGGAGTACAGAGTACGGCCAAGCCCAAGCAACACCACAGTCTTTTTTTCCAACGTTGGCATCAGGACCGGTGAGCGGACCACTTACCCCTTCCACTAACTCCGGCTACTTTTTGAGTTTCGGTCTTGGAGAGCGAGGGACGAAGAACAGACAGTGGGCATCGACCATTGACCATCAACCTCCAACGCACTGGGACTGCACCTTGCTGCTTCTAAGCGCGTCGCGCAGTGATCCTACTGGCTGTGTGCAGTTGGACCTGGCGGGAAGGGGGGTGAGGGGTGGTTGATGTGAATACCTAAGGTAGAGAGGGGGGGGCAGAGAAGGAGGGGGGAATTGATGGGAGGGGAGGAGACAAAGGCCAGCACAACAAACGGGCGTGAGTAAGAGACCGAGAGCGGTAGAGAAGGAGAAGGAGAGGGGAGTATGGATTAGGACTCTTGGGGGAACCCTACGACAGAGGAAGAGGCTGATGACTTTCTTCTAGTAAGATCAAACAGGTAGTGGAAGGAAATGCTACAGCAATAAACGATTGACAGCAGCAGGCGGGAAGAGCAACGACAGCGCAGGATCCAGGAGTGCGTCAGGCATTGGAAGGCATACCTAGCCCAGATGCGAGAGTGGGAGAGAGCGGGGGGCTGAATCCGGATCGATATTAATTATGGCGGCGAACTCTCAAAGAAAATCCAACACAGCAGCCAGCAGATGCCAGTGCCATAATGAGAGAAGCCCCGACTCGGCTCCAAATCGAGTCAGCGCCAACAATCGGTGTCTCTTTCCCATCCTCTGCAATCGGCCGGCGTCAACTGGCTGGATCTCTACCCGTATCCGGTGTGGAAGGGATGCTCTTTGCCTCCTTTCTTCTCTATTGCGGATACCTACCACCCTACAAGTCACATTTCGTATATATGCAGTACACTGCGGTTGCCAACGTCAGATCTGAACTAGAAAGGCACATCCTCCGTCGTCCTACACGCCCTCGTGGATATCATGTTCTGGAGACTTGTCAGAAAAACAGTAACAGCTCCATGTCTCCAGATGCTGTGCAGCTGCTTTGCAGGGGTCCGTCCGGTTCAACATGGTAACGCCAAGACCACCAACTTCAACACGCCCCAGGGCAACCTCAAATCTCAAGTACGTCTGCCACTGCTCCTGTCTCTCTCCTCTGTCGTCTACACAAGCGCTCTCAGTTGTTCGCCTGCGCGGGCAGGGCACGGGGGCTTGATGTCCCCCGCCTGTGTACGAATACGCCCTCCTCCGCCGCGCAGAACTCAAGGTACATTGAGCTGTCAGTGGGACTGCAGGCGAGGTAGTTACCTACCTTGGTTATGTACTGCCTCATGTTCCTCACTTGACTGCTGCTCATCTCTGCTTGCAGTGGCGTTGCTCCAGCCCACAGACGGGTTCTCATCTTCCCGCAGTTATCCGCATCTGTCTTGCAGTCGGGGTGGCTTCAATATACCCGTCGTGCTCTAGCTTCCAACGGCCCTAAATATCAGGGAGCGACGAAGCAGATGCTCATTACGCACTTCACAGTTCTTTCCCCCACCCCTTTTTCCCACAACGGTGCCATCATCTCAAGGGGATCCCTTCGGAAGCCTCACATCGTCTTCCCTGTCGATGACTGTGCCTACGCGTTCGCCGCCGGTGCGGTTACAACCTAAAGAGCCTGACTGTACCGATGGACGCGCACACCAAGGACGGGACGCTGAAGCAGACCTCTTCCCCGCGTGGCCGTGTGCCGCTGCTTCGCTCTGCTTCATATTCCGCCCGCAAAGACCCAATTGACTCGACCGTCCGTTGTTCAGTCTCACACCCTTCATTAGGCAAACCTGACACTATGATGACCGTCCGTCCGCACCTTGGGTATGGACTATAGGATGCCTACTTCCCCTTAGGAAGTCTCGTTTTCAGCTCAAACTTTGTTCTCCCAGAGCCGCCCGTGATCTCCGGTCTTGTCCAGCAAGAATCTGGGCAAAGAACTGCTACCACCTCCGGCCCGACTTACCCATGGTACCCACCGTGTATTCCGGCCTACACGGAACGGACGAGCAGGCAGCAAACAGGGGGTCGTCCGTTTTGTCTGAAGGGCGAATGCTGGGGGCATGTAAATTGGAATCCTCTTTCTAGACACTCTGATTTTCGCCCACTCTTTCTCCGTGGCAACGGCCTAGAATCTTCACCAGATACAGAAGGAAGAAGGCTTCAAACAAGGCAAAAGCGGTGCCAGATGCTATTCTTGGTCTTTGGCCGGGCTGTCATCAAGGAAACCAATATTGGGTGCTCCAGCATAGGCCGGCGTAGATTCCTGTTCAGGTCGCACCAAGGTCAGACAGCAGCCCGGCCCACAGCTGATTAGCGAGGACGTCCCCGGCGCAAATCACAAAGTATCCAGAAGCGGTCGTCCACTGACATGAGTCTCGCTTTTTAGTCCGAACCGTAACAGCGGGAATCTTTGAGTACACCTGCTGGGGGCCTGGACTGACTGAGAGTGGGTTGATCGCTCTCTCATCCCATGATTGTTGAGCGAAGTCGCGAACAGACCTAGCTAGGGCAGAGAACGTCAACACAAGATTGATAACCAGCACCGCGTCACGCTCTTCTCCTTCGCGTTCGCTAACTTGGACTTTAATGCTCAAAACCTCTATACGATGGTGCCGGGTGCTAGATCTGGGAAATCTCCAGTGAACGGACAGCCTGAAGCACAAACAACCATCTTGTGCTTAGCCTTGCGCTATCTCGTTAGCTGCATCTCCCGATCATCAGTGCCAACCGTGGGGCAACCCACAAGCCGACGGATGGGCTTCAGTCGAAATTGCGGTATCGACTTCAGTCACCAGGGTGGATGAGAATGCCCCTACGGGCCTACGGATAGGGCGAGGTTGCGAAACTCGAGCGCTGATCGGCGGGCTCCCGTGCAGGATACATCCCGACACGACTTTGTTGCAACTTGCAGCGGCTGCATCTTGCGCTGCCAGCGGCCACGTGTGAAACAGCGGTCATCGACACTGCCAATAGCACAATGGAACTGTCGTGGTCAGAGAAGGGTGGGAAAAGTGTAAGGCAGTAAGCAGTCGTCGCCTGCATTCGCCAGCGAATCCCGTCCTTTGTCGGAGTGCCGCCAACAACTGTTGTTGGACGGCCTGCCGGCGGGCTTGGTTCATCGACACCGTACGTCAACGCATAGGTACCTACATCTAGAGACCAACCAGCACCTCAGGCTACGCAAGCGACCCTGCAGTGGAATAAGGTATCCGTAAGTAATAATGCACAGCCCGACTGGGCCTAGGGCGAAGCGGGAAGCTGCGAGCGCTGCATTGGGCTGGGCGCAGCAAAACATTCAGAACGGACGGAATCACAGGCCACCCGCCAACCCCGAGAGACTGATATTCCTCCGATGATCAGATCCAGTTCTACTGCTTCCCTACGGCAGCCCTCCCAGGGGTACGGAGTAGCGCCGCAACACATAGTTGATGGGCCGACTGCAATCCCCCGGGAGAAGGCCTAGCCCATGGATCCTTCAAGGACTGCACGAGACGGTCAAGGGCCCCCATCTCGCACACGATCGCTGTACCCAAATACTGGCAACGACTTTCAACTATGTGCACACATGACATTTGTTCGTCCGTTCGAGAACCAGCAGTTGGCTCGAATTAATGCCGTTCTCAGAGTCTTTGGAGGCTGGTTCCTCTCTGGCTGAGCGTCCCACGCCATCAGATGTCTCTGTACTCATTGGCTGTTCTATTTCTGGACAATGTACGCCGTGCACGGCAGCTGCAATTGGGAATGTTAGAGTCGTCTTGATTGGTGCCCTCCAAGGTGTCTTTTGTTTCAGAGTATGTGAGCGCCTAAGAGCCAATCATGTTGGTTCATCGCAAACAGCCACGTGAGATGGGTCATTTTGGCTGTGAGTGTACGGAAGCTCAGGCAACCAAGTGAGCCTCAGGCAGAAGGTGCCATTGTCAGGTTCGCGAACCTAAGGCCTGAGGCCATAAATCCGATGGCGCCCTCGTCACGCCCTGCCCTGGGTGCTTCCAAGGCCCGACATTCAGCCGAAAGCGAGCTATCCAATTCTTCACTCAAAAAGAACGTCATTGAGGCTCTTCCATCTTTGCAACCGTCAACAAATTTCAGCGTCGAACTCGGAGCTTTCCAACAGCCCACAACAGGACATCGCTGGAGGATTAGATAGAACTCTGTCAACACTCCCGAACACTCTCTCAGGAAGGCACAGTCGGAAGACAGAGAAGCACATTGATCGAAGCAGATCAAGTCACCCCCAAAAGGTAAGAGACAAAAACAGACTCGCGACGAGCCAGAGAAAACACTGGCCGTCCTCTTTCGAGCTTTTCCATGATGAGATTCTTTTTATTGGAGCTGTCTAAATTCCCCATGTTGAGACACTTTATTACCTTATACGCTTTGTCTGAAAAATCGCGCTCAAACCTCTTTCAATGCCTACGAGCATCTAAAAACATGGTGTCCTGAATATTTGGCTAATTCGGAGACACAGATCAGATTTCTTCGCTACGACCTCTACGACTGGAAGCGACGACCACCGGCGATTCGACTTTTCCCTCCCCCCTCTCTAACCGACCCGCTGATTTTTATTTTTCTTTCTCTTGCTGACCTAAACATTATTCTGCCTGTTCCCGCCATTGGTGACCTTTTTGACAGCCCCACGTTCTTCCCATAATCATCCATCCATTTTGACTGCTTCCTGTCGCGCGCGCCCATTGATATCCACTTCCTACCTTCGTGGAGCTCCCGCGCCGTGCTTCCATACATACCTATACTCCGTGCCGTACCTGTCGAGCTTGCTTGTCCCGCCCCACCCAACATCGTCACTTTCTGTCGGCATACATACGCAGTAACCCATACACAAACAAAAACCCATCGATCACCACGAAAGTCATGGAGGTCGCAAATGGCACCACCGGCGCCGCAGCAGCCGCAAATGCTGGAGCGAACTCGGCGGCACCTCCTGCGAATGGCGGCGAAGCTGCGGCTGCTGCTGCTTCTTCAAGCGACTTCAAGCTCAAGTTCTGTACGGTGTGCGCGAGTAACCAAAATAGGTACGATACAACCAAGTCCCCTGGCCCGATTGTTTATCACGCGAGAGCAAATTCGAGCTTCTCCTTAACGTCATTACGGAACTGCCCGCATCCTCGCATCGTGTCCATGGCCCAAAGTCGAGCAAAACACATACTGACCACCCTCCGTCAAACAGATCAATGGTCTCCCACCTCCGCCTCGCCCAAGCAAACTACCCCGTAATCTCCTTCGGCACAGGCTCCCTCGTCCGCCTCCCCGGCCCCTCGATAACCCAGCCAAACGTCTACCAATTCAACAAGACCTCGTACGACTCCATCTTCAAAGAGCTCGAGTCCAAAGACACGCGCCTCTACCGCGCGAACGGCGTCCTCAACATGGTCGACCGCAACCGCCACGTCAAGTGGGGGCCCGAACGCTGGCAGGACTGGCAGGTCGGCATGCCGCGCCTCACCCACGCCGAGGACCGCGGCAGCGTCGGCGTCGAGGGCGGCGTCGTCGACGTCGTGATTACCTGCGAGGAGCGCTGCTGGGACGCCGTGATCGACGACCTCATGAACCGCGGGAGTCCGCTGAACAGGCCCGTCCACGTGATCAATGTCGATATCAAGGATAACCACGAGGAGGCCAGCGTCGGCGGGCGCGCGATTCTGGACCTGGCGAACGCGTTGAATGCCGCGGCGACCGAGGAGCGCGAGGCTGTCGGGGCGGCGGCGTTTGATGGCGGGAGCGCGGCGGGCAGGGCGAGCTTTGATGAGAGGGTCCCGGATATCTTGGCTGCGTGGCAGGATCGGTGGCCTCACTTGCCTGCTGTATGGACTCTTGCTTGGTTTTGAGAGTTGGCGGGAAAAGGGTGGAACCTTTCGGTGGCGTGTGTTTCCGTCTCCGCTTGAAAGCCGCGGGACCAAGAGGCGTCCTACAGTGACGAGAAGCTCCCGACTCAACAACTCAAGATGGCGAAGTGCGGATTGAAGGAGACGCTACAGTATCTACAGTACCTACAAACATTGTTTGTCCGGTACGGAAGGCGTACGGAGGCTCGGGAACACTTACCGCACGCCACCGGGATTCTAAATGAGAGCGGGCGCGGCTACGCCCATCAAGATCACAATCCCGATCCCGACGCACAGACGAGATCTCCGGAAAGTCATGGTTTAATCCACGCGAGAAGCTTGCGGTTGCGGCTCTTCGGTATCGATCGACACGGTTTCCCAGGCGGCCTCTTCATCACACGGCAAAAGGATGTACCATGCGAGCCCTGGGCACTTGAGCTCCAAAATGGGAAGCAGCTCGGGAGAAAGGGAACTAGAGCTTGCGATTCTATATTTAAACTAGACCTGACATGCCAATACCCCCATCAGACGAACAAGGTATATGGCAGTCATTGACGAGTTAGACGTGGGAACTGAGCATATCGTTCTCGCGTTACAACATGGAACGGAAGCCATAGCCGAGCTCGAAGAACAGAGGCGGCGAGAGAATCTTGGAAGATGCGGCTCCGCTAGCGAAGTTTAAGCCGGGCAAACTCACTTGGCCGTGTCAAAGGTGCGAATCATGAGAAAGGGAGACTGGAGGATCTCCAGCCGGGAAGGGAGCTTCAGGTTCGGGATAA